TGAATAAAAAAAAAAGTAGGCAGGTTGGAAGAGGCAAGTTTGGTCTCAAAATGGAGATAAAACCTCTACCCGAGGGCCCCCAGCCCAACTCTGGCTACCATAGGTGGGAAGGAGAGCCATGATCCAAAGGAGCCAGAGCAGCTGAGAAAACTGTCGATTCATGGTCTGAGCTTTGAAACTACAGATGATAGCTTAAGAGAACATTTTGAGAAATGGGCATCCTCACAGATTGTGTGTAATGAGAGCCTCCTTTCTGGGAGCTTTGGTTTTTTAACTGACTCTTGTAAACTGAAGAGGTGGATGTGGCAATATGTGTTTGACCACATGGGCATGCAGTGGAATCAAAGAGATCTGTTTTTAGAGGGGATTTTGTAAAGGGGGGTGCCCAGGTAATGGTGGGAAAAAAAAAGTTGGTAGGCTTAAAGAAGATACAGAAGAATATAATTTGAGAGACAACTTTGAAAAGCATGGCAAAATTGAAACCATAGAAGTTATTGAAAACAGGTGGAGTGGGAAAAAAGAGGATTTGTTTTCCTGGGTTTTTTTTTTTTTTCCATTCATTAGTACATTATAGTTTTACCAGGGGTATATTGTGACTTTTATAAAAGTGCTTAGAATATATCTTAGTAAGATTCACCCCCTCCATCTTTCTCCTTTATCTCCCTTCTCCCCCTCCTTAGAACAGTTTCAACAGGTTTCATTATTCCATTTTCATACATGAATACATAGTACTTCCACCATATTTGCCCTCTTGCACCTTTTGCTTATGCCCTCCCCACACTACTGGTACCAAGGAGTTGGTACCAGTGTTTTACCTTCTTATCCTTCATGTTTAAAAAAGACACTTTTGTGTTATGATGGTTATACAGGAAGCTTGCTTCATTGTGACATTTTCATGTGTGGGTACATACATATGTATGTTTGTGTGTGTGTATGTATGTATGTATTATACCCCAAAGTGGTTCATCTCCTCCATTATTTTCATTTCTATCTTAGTCTCCTTCTTATGGTGATTTCAGCAGGTTTAAATGTTCCATATTCATACTTGTCTAGAAAGTAGTACATCAACCATATTCATCTTCTTTACTTTCTTAATTTACCCTTCCCCTCCCATTAGTGCCCTACCCCTTAGCAAAACCTGTTTTATATTTTGACCTTCATTGTTTAGGTGCCTATTTGTTGGTCACTGGAATTTTTACCTGTAAATGTTTTGTGCTTAAGTCAATCTAACCCTCACCACTGTACACTTTTTTCCCCCATTCTCTGTTGCTAAAGAGTTTTCAGCGTGTTTTGTTGTGTCTTGTTCCTACACAGATGTGATGTATTTTATTATTATTCACTAATTTTCTTTTCTTTTTTTCCTACTCTCCTAGTCTCCCCTTCCAGGCTCACTTTAGGTACATGTTTGTATATGTACATGTAATATTGTTTATATTTGTTTGGGCCTATATTCCACATATGATAGAGAACATGTAGCCTTTGGCTTTCTGAACCTGGCTAACTTCACTTAAGATGATGTTTCCAATTCCATACATTTAACCTGCAAACAACAAAATTTCATTCTTATTTATGGCTGAATAAAATTCCATTGTATATAAATACAACAAGTGGATTTTCTTAATCCATTCATCAATTGTGGGGTATCTTGTCTGTTTCCACAGTTTGTCGATTGTGAACAATGCTGCAATAAGCATAGGTGTAAAGGTTCTTTTATTGTAACCTGGCTTACATTCCTTCAGGGATATGTCTAGGAGTGGTATTGCTGGATCAGATGGCAGTTCTACTTTTAGTTTTTGAGGAGCCTCCATACTATTTTCCATAGTGGTTGTAGTAATTTACAGTCCCACCAACAGTGTATGAGGGTTCCTCTTTCCCCACATTCTTACCAACATTTGTTGTTTGTATTCTTGATATAGCCATTCTAACAGGAGTAAAGTGAAACCTTACTGTGATTTTGCTTTTGTAACTTTTAATGATCATGATACAGTTTATAAAATTGTTGTTCAAAAATATCACACAATATGGGCATAATTGTGAGGTGGAAAGGGCCCTTTCTAAATAAGATATGCAGCCTGCTGGATTGCAAAGAGATTGTAGAGGTAAATCTGATAACCTTACAGTTCATGAAGGAAACTGGAAGTGGTGGAAATAATTTTGGTTATAGTAGAAAGTGGAAGAGGAGGTTGTCATGGTAGAGATGGTAGCAGCAGAGGTGGTTATGGAGAAGGTGATGGTGGATATAATGAATTTGGAGGTAGTGGTGGCAACTATAGCAGTGGTCCTTCTTATAATAGTGGAGGAAGCTATGATAGTGGTAGACCAGGATATGGGAACAGGTGGTGGATATGGTAGTGGTGGAAGAGGAGATGGTGGTTCCAATGATGGAAGGAATCTTGGTTGCAGTAACTATGTAAGGTGGCATCTATAATGATTTTGAAAATTATAGTGGACAACAGTAATAAAATTATGGATCCATGAAGTAGGCCATTTTTGATGGAAGAAACAATCCTTATGGTGGTGATTAAGGACCTGGTGGTAGAAGTGGTACATATGGTAGCAGAAGGTTTTACAAAGAGCAGAAAAAGTGCTATAGTTCTTTAGCAGGAGAAAGAGCAAGGAGTTGTTAGGAAAGCTGCAGCTTTGAGACAGCTGTCCCAAATGCAGTAGAGGAACTGTAAAAATCTGCCTCACAAAGAATGATGATCCATAGTCAGAAAAGTTACTGCCCCTTACAAAGGAAACCCTTCTTGTTCAGGACTGGCATAGTCACAGCTTGCAAAAAGTGTGGCTATTGACTAATGCAATGTAGTGTCAATTAGATGTGCTTTCCTGAGGTCTTTTATGTGCTATAGCTTTGCCTTTTTCTTATCACATCTGTTATATTGCCCTATAAATTGTAGTAGCACCAGGAATAAAACAATAAGGAATTTTCAACTTTTCAATATTTAGTTCAGTTTTTCTACATTTTAGTTCAGAAACTTTAACAAAATTAAGTTTGAAGATATTTCTTTGTAGGTTAACAAGATCATTATTAATTACTATTTTGTATGAATTTTGCTAAAGTTAACTGTAAAGAAATACCTACTGATGTGCAGTTTTAAAAGAATCTGTTCTATCGATCTACCATTTGATCCAGCAATACCACTCTTGGGGATATACCCAAAAGACTGTTACTCCAGAGGCACCTGCACATCCATGTTTATTGCGGCACTATTCACAATAGCCAAGTTATGGAAACAGCCAAGATGCCCCAGCACTGACGAATGGATTAAGAAAATGTGGTATCTATACACAATGGAATTTTATGCAGCCATGAAGAAGAATGAAATGTTATCATTCGCTGGTAAATGGATGGAATTGGAGAACATCATTCTGAGTGAGGTTAGCCTGGCTCAAAAAACCAAAAATCGTATGTTCTCCCTCATATGTGGACATGAGATCAAGGGCAAACACAACAAGGGGATTGGACTATGAGCACATGATAAAAGCGAGAGCACACAAGGAAGGGGTGAGGATAGGTAAGACACCTAAAAAACTAGCTGGCATTTGTTGCCCTTAACGCAGAGAAACTAAAGCAGATACCTTAAAGCAACTGAGGCCAATAGGAAAAGGGGAACAGGTACTAGAGAAAAGGTTAGATCAAAAAGAATTAACCTAGAAGGCAACACCCACGCACAGGAAATCAATGTGAGTCAATGCCCTGTATAGCTATCCTTATCTCAACCAGCAAAACCCCTTGTTCCTTCCTATTATTGCTTATACTCTCTCTACAACAAAATTAGAGATAAGGACAAAATAGTTTCTGCTGGGTATTGGGGGGGGGGGAGCGGGAGGGGGTGGAGTGGGTGGTAAGGGAGGGGGTGGGGGCAGGGGGGAGAAATGAACCAAGCCTTGTATGCACATATGAATAATAAAAGAAAAATGAAAAAAAAAATCTGTTCTCCCCATTTCCGTAGTGTGATATGAATGGACTCTGACATATGGAGGCAATAGATCCTTGTATGCAGTTGAATACTGAATTCAAGGTTTTTACTTGGTTTTTGAAGTAGTAAGCAAAACAAGCAATAAAAAAGTGGGAATGGGGCATGCTAGTGTTTGAATATGCTCTCTTGTTGCTCTAATTCTGTGCCTCTGTGCATGACTAATATTTGGATGCATGCAATGTCAGCATGGAAATTGGTCTTCACAGATCCTGCAGTTTTCCAGAAACACTCATAAACCAATAAATGTAACAGAATACATTCCATTTGTTAATAGGCATATGTGTAGAAAATGGTTTATGTTAGAAAATGGTTTGAGTCCCTAATAGCTTCAAGTGTGGTTATATAATTGGGCACTGTCAATGTTCATAACTTAAACTTGGGTACCTGGTCAAAATGCTTGAAAAACATTTAAAGTGAGCTAAATTGTTAAAAAAAAAAAAAGTATGCATCATAGAATCAAGGAAATACAGTATTAAATACAAATACAATTTTTGAAGCCTGACTTATTTTTCTTCTGGAAGAAAATATGCAGTATGGGCTAAATGTTACAGATTTTGTGCTGGACTGCACATAGTAACTCTTAAACTTTTTACAAAAATTATATTGGTAATCCAATGAAAATGAGAAATGAACATCAGATGCTTTAGGAAAATAGTAAATATTAAGATTTGAGTTAAACCAGATCTTGGAATTAAAATTCATAGGTTTATTTTTGTGGAAAGAATCATTTACAAATGTTTTTCATAATTTTGTATTAATGTTTTAAGAGATGTGGCCCAAGACAGTCTGATACTTCTGGAGAAAGCATTATGCTTTTTTTTATGGAATTATGTAAAGAAAGTATTCTGACATAGAATTAATAACATTCATCCTTTATTGAGGAAGTTTGAGTTCTAGAGTTCTTAAGAAAAAGAATTCTTTTGTAATTGGTTTACAGGCACTTGATTTACAGGCACTTTAGGGCAGAAAAGAACTTCTAACAACATCATCTTCTCTCCCTCCCTCTCATTACTGTAGGTGTACCAACATTCGACCAGGAGAGACTGGAATGGATGTAACAAGCCGCTGCACCCTTGGAGACCCCAACAAACTGCCAGAAGGGGTTCCCCAACCTGCACGCATGCCCTATATCTCAGACAAGCACCCTCGGCAAACCTTGGAAGTGATTAACCTTCTGAGAAAGCACCGAGAGCTATGTGATGTGGTGCTAGTTGTGGGCGCTAAGAAGATATACGCCCATCGAGTCATTTTGTCGGCCTGTAGTCCCTATTTCCGAGCTATGTTTACAGGGGAATTGGCAGAAAGCCGTCAGACAGAAGTAGTGATCCGAGACATAGATGAGAGGGCTATGGAACTACTGATTGACTTTGCATATACCTCCCAGATAACTGTAGAAGAAGGCAATGTTCAGACCCTTTTGCCAGCTGCTTGCCTTCTCCAGCTGGCAGAAATACAGGAAGCCTGCTGTGAATTCCTAAAGAGACAATTAGATCCTTCTAACTGCCTGGGCATTCGGGCTTTTGCTGACACACATTCTTGCCGTGAGTTGCTAAGGATAGCAGACAAGTTCACTCAGCATAACTTTCAAGAGGTGAGTTTACTTTGTGGTTTGAATGTATTCATGACCTATTCATCAGAAGAGCAATATGGGTTCACATTTGTTAACACTTGCCTGGTTATTTAATGATGGTTTTAATTCATATTATAAAAGAAATAAGTTGCTATAAATTCTAAGCCCAGTTTTTTTTTTTAAAGGCCAATTTTGTATTCTACTAGCAAAAGTTGTTTTTCTAGACATATTCCTAAAAGGCTAATTTATAAGCCAAAACACAGTTTATTAATTCCTAAGAGAATGTAGGCCTTACAGGTTAACTGATAAGAAGTAATTTGCATAAGGTTTTCCTTCCTGATTATATGGATTATCCAGTAGAATAAATTATAGTATAGAAGCTTTTCAATAAACTAATAATCAGAAAAAATAAATTTAGATGGGATCAAAAGAATTTTCATTAAACTATTTTTCGCTTACTCATTTCATTTAAACATTTGTAAAGCTACTATGTTTCATCCACTGTGCTTAGGAACATAGGCTACAGTAGTGAACAGGAAACTGAAAGTTTCTACTCATAATCTAGCTAAACTATATAACTTTGGGGTGTATAATTACACAAATAATTATAATTAATGGATGCTATAGAGAAACAGCCCTGAGTACAGAAAGTTTTAACTTTGGCACTGGAATAGCTCCTGCATAATCCTAAAACATTAGCAAACATAACTGGTTTGGAGATCTGAAAAAACCTGAATGAGACCCAGAGAACTAGGGGAAGGATATTACATTATAATTTCACAGAAGGAAGAGAGCCAGGTCATACTGGAGTTGATAAACCATGTTAGGAATTTGAGATTTAATCTTAAGTGCAATGGAACACCATAAAAAGGTTTTAAAGAAAGAACAGACTTCGATTTTATGCTTTAATATCACGAGTTTAACCTCCAGTGGCTCAAGGATTAAGCATATAAAATGAAAATTTTAGACAATAACATGGAGCAGTTTCTTTATAATCTGTAATAGAAGAAAACTTTTCTAATTGGCCAATCCAGAAAGGCTAGAAGATAAAGGTGATAGATTTGACTACATAAAAATCAATTTTCTCCATGGTGAGATGAAAGTCAAAGACAAGTTGAGGGTAAATATTTTTCTTTCATATTAACTATTATAAGTGGTTAAAGCTACCATTTTCCTCTGCTCACTGCTTTAAATATACTTAATAGATTCTGGATTATTCCTCATTATTAATGTTATATAGAAATTCCATTTGTATTTCCCTTTCACTCAAAAACTATTAATGAATTTTTAAATTTCCAAATGGGAGGCCCTTTTTAAATTTCATTTTTAATTGCTAATTTTAGTGCATTTTGATCAGTGTAGTTTATAATATTTCTACTTTGTGAAATTTATTTTCTTAGTAATCTATGATTACAATGTGCTTCAGCAGGTATATTTCTAGCCTTTATTCTCATAATGTAGTGTTTGATATATATCCAGAAAAATCTCTTATCGATTGTATTGCTTGTCTCTTTTATATTCCTGTTTTTGTCCATGAACCTGTATGTCTCTATTATTAGTGTTTCTATTTCTCCTTACATCATCTATATGTGGTTACTGTATTGCCTGATGTATATTCTTAACTTTATGTCTTAATTATTACTGAGCTCATAAATCTTTGTTCAGATTTCATTCTTTTATTGCTTAAGTTTTACTTTGCCTGATAGCTGAATTTCAACCCCTGCTTTCTTATTGTTTCCATTTGCCTAGTATATCTTTGTCCATCTCTTTACATTGATCCTTTTTTGGGTTATAATGCTTTGTTTTTTATGAGTTTTTTTTTTCTTGGGACTGGGGGGTGAACTCAGAAGGTTTTAAATATTTTTCTTGAATTAGCATAAAATTGAGTTTTGTTTTATAAGCCAACTTGAAGATCATTTTCTTTAAATAGGAAATTGAAATCCATTTGCATTTATTGCTGTGACTGACATGTTTGGTCTCAACTCTGTCATACTACTTTTTTTTTTTTTTTTTTGACACAGGGTCTTACTATGTAGCTCAGAGGCTGGTGTGGAACTGGCGATCCTACTCCCTCAGCTTCCCTCATAGTGCAGAGATTATAGATGTGCACCATCACACCTGACCATGTCTTATTATATTTTCCAAATAGTATCTGATTATCTGATTTAGTTATATTTACTGTTTTTCTTTATGTGGTACTCTGTTTGCTTTTTATTTAATTTCTTTTGGTATATAGAAACATTTGTATTTTGTTCCAGTGTTTACTTTTGTAAGCTAGAAAAAGAAGGTCATATTAAACCAAAGTAAGTAGAAGCAAGAAAAGAATTAATGTGAGTCAACTCCCTGTATAGCTATCCTTACCTCAACTAGCAAAAACCCTTTTTCCTTCCTATTATTGCTTATACTCTCTCTTCAACAAAATTAGAGATAAGGGCAAAATAGTTTCTGCCGGGCATTGAGGGGGTGGGGGGGAGAGAGAGGGGGTGGGGTGGGTGGTAAGGGAGGGGGTAGAGGCAGAGGGGAGAAATGACCCAAGTGTTGTATGCACATATGAATAATAAAACAATTAAAAAAAGAATAAATGTTAAAGCAAAATCAGTGGCTCTTTCAAAAAAAATTAATGAATTTACATCTATACTGATCAAGAAAAAAATGGAGAGAAGATAAAAATTCTCGGTATCATGAATCAAGGAAAGGATGTCACTACAAATCCCCATGTTAAAAGGATTTTAAAGGAATATTATAGGCAACATTTTGCCAATAAATTCAACACCTGAAGTGAAGTCTGGCATGGTGATACATGCCTATAATCCTCACAGTTAGGAAGTGGAGGCAGGAAGATCACAAGTTCAAGACCCTGCTTAAAAAACTCAAGGACTGGTAATATAGCTCATTGATAAAGCACTTGCTTAGCATGCGCAGGGCCCTGGATTCAGTCCCCAGTACTGCAAAAGAAGAAAACAACTTAAAATGAATTGGACAAATTCTTTTGGTTGGGAGGAGCCAGTATTTGAACTCAGGGCTTTGTACTTGCAAAACAGGCTCTTACAAAGCAGACACTCTACCTCTTAAGCCACACCTCCAGTCCATTTTACTCTGCTTATTTCAGGGTCTCACAAACTATTTGCCCAGGCTGACTTCGAACGGTGATCCTCCTGATCTCATGCTCCCAAGTAGCTGGAATTACAGGCGTGAGCCACTGGTGCACCCACCTGTACAATTCTTTGAAAACCACAGATTACAAAAACGGACTCAAAAAAGCCAGAATAACCATATGTCTATGAAAGAAATTTCATTTATAATTTAAAAACCTTCCCATAAAAAACGCTACTAGTCCCAGATGGTGAAATGTATCAAACGTTTAAGGAAGGAATAATACTAATTCTACACAAAATCTTTCAGAAAAAGGAAAAGGAAGTTGCCAGTTCATTTTATAAGGCCAAAATCATCCTGTTATTGAAACCACAAACCCTGAAAGCAAATTATAGATCTTATAAAATATACGTCGCTAAGTTGATAAAAATCATTGTTTTATAATCAGGTACTCTACTGCTTGAGCCACACCTCCATTCCTTCTTTGCACTATTTTCAAATATTAAGTCCACCTCCAAAAGTAAATATTTGCATCAATGAAGAGCTCCAAATAATATGTCCAATGCATTGGACCCAACATTAAGAATTCTGGGCTGTAAGCTGGTGCCAGTGGCTCATGCCCATAATTCTAGCTATTTGGGAAGCTGAGATCAGGAGGGTCACGATTCAAGGCCAGCCTAGGTGAAAAGAAGTTAAGGAGACCCCATCTCAATGGAGAAAAGCTGGGCATGGTGGTGCACGCCTGACATCCCAGTGACTGAGAAGTTTAAAATAGTTTGTGGTCCAGACCAGCCTGGGAAAAAGGCAAGATTCTATCTCCAAAATAAACAGAACTAAAAGGGCTGGAGGAGTGGGTCAAGTGGTAAGAGTGCCTGCCTAGCAAGTATTAAGCCCTGAGTTCAAACTCCAGTACTTCCAAAAATAAAAAAGAATTCTGTGCCTTACAACCTTTTGGGATGATGGCAAGTGTTCTAGATCTTGCATGAGTATATAATTTATCAAAACTCATTGAACTGTACATTTAAATAAAGTTGATTTTTTTAAAATTCCTGCTTTTTTGTTTGTTGGTTTTGGTGTGGTTTGGTTTTTGTTTGGGGGGAGTTTTTTTTGACAGTACTGGAGTTTGAACTCAAGGCTTTGCATGTGTGAGGAGGTGCCCTGTCACTTGAGCCACTCAGCCAGCTAAAATGCCCTGCTTCAACCAGAACATTGTCATAGATCTAAGGTATTCAGAAATATATGAAGAGCATTCTTAACAGGAGGGGAAGTTCTGAAATTTCAGAGTGGAAATCTTACCTTTGTTAATGTACTAGAAAGACTCCTTGTAGGCAGAAATAGATCACCATTTAGGGCTTAACACTTGTAACTCATTTAAATTACTTTTGAACCTGATCAAAATTACATTTAATCTCTTTCTATTTCATTGATAACTTAATTCATATGGTATTGCTCTTATCCAAACAAACTTTAAAATTGTCTTTAAACTCAGTAGTATTAAGCTTACTATGTACTTCAGTTTGTGGGAATAACTATAGATGACTTTGTTTATTCATTCTGGGTCGTTTTTAGCTTTACTCATTCTTCAAATTCTGCATTTATCTGCAGAAACTAAAAGGAAGCTGTTTACCATAATAGTATGCTAGGGCTTAAAGTTCAGCTCTCCTCTGAACTCTTACTTAAGAGCAGATATTTCAAAGCATTGTTTTCTGCATCTGGTCATTTGGTCCAAGGATAGACTTCAGTGCTAGATTTGCCTTCATGGTATATCACTATCTTTTTCTTGTTGCTGGAAAAGGAAGCTTGGCATTTTAATTGGACTTTAACTGCCAAGAGTGTTATTTTTACTTCGTGGTCTTAATTTAATACCAAACAAATAACATTCTCACACAAATTTTCATGTTTTCCTGTTATCATGTGTTTCCATTAAATAAGCTGTTGTCATTGTTAATGGTGATCATTGGTATCTATACAACATTTGTTTTTAATCCAGATATTGGAAAAATTTATACTCTGATGAAATCTAAAAAGATCATTAGAGTACTTCACAGAGATCTGTAATACCATGTTTGTGCTTTAGTAAAGAAATTGGAAAATAAGAAAGGGGACAATAAGGTGCAGCCATGGGTAAAGTTTTACATGCTGTGTGGGCCAGCACACGTAATAGACCTTGGCCTCAAATTAGACTTTGGACATTATACTCCCTCAAATCCCCAACATATGGTTGCCAGATAAAATACAGTGCTCCCAGTTAAATTTAAATTCCAGATGAACAGCAAATAATTTTAGGTATAGACATGTCTGGGTTTTTTATTTGCTAAAACTGGCAACCCTACCACAGAGAGTAAAATTCAACAATTCTAATTACTAAATTACTCAGGCAACCTCAGCTAAAATTTAAAGGTTACCTATTTAATTTCATGAACCCTAGAAAATCTCTCACTCAAATAATTTGAATACTTCTACCCTAAAAAAGTATTAACTGACTTTACTTATGGCCCTTAACTGTTTAAGTTTGAGATTTTTCTTTTTTCCTACTGTATTTGAAGAAAACATTCTCAATCAAATAATCAAATTATCATTTTGGCCTATCTCATGCCCTGCTAAATATTCTGCCTTTTTGATGAGCATAAAGACAACCCTGTCTCCAAAAGAAATCATCAACTATATTAGAGGTAGCACAGTAGGTATCACATGCAGCACAGCCTCCTGAGAGAAGAAACCACACAGTGATAACGTGACTGTTTCCCTCCTCGCCATTGCACTCTGCCCCTGTTACTCCACATCCTCTTGAAAAACCTTACACGACCTTGGAATTCATGGCTGGCCTGTACAACAAGATATTATCCTTATTGCCATTTCATCTCCATTCTAACAGTTCTCTAGACTTGAATAAAGATAAATTATGGAATTTTTTGTAGTTTCTCACTAGAATATCTATCCGAGTGGTTTAGCCCTTAGAGGTTGTCATTAGTCTTACTCTCTCCTCATTCAATTCATTTTTAAATTTTTATTTATTTTATTTTTCAGATAGAGTCTCACGCTTTTGTCTGGGTCGGCCTCGGACTATGATCTTCATATCTATGTCTCCTGTATAGCTGGTATTGCAATGCATCATCATGCCTACCTTATTGATTGAGATGGAATCTCTTGAACTTTTGTCCAGGCTGGACTAAAACCTCTATCTCAAGTATATGGGATTACAGACATGAGCTACCACACCAGGCTAATATTAATGCTTACAAAATTGCAGACATCTTAATTCTTTTTTGTAACCTGGCCCCTTGGTGTTTCTGCCCTAAACACTACCCTTTTAGCCACTAATCTTCCTATGGAAAGCTTTCTGTGACATTATACGCTTCTTATATTTCTGGAGTTTTAATTTGGTATAGTTATATGGTTCATTTAGAATATGAGTTTTTATTTTGATCTTTAATTTTTAAGGAAAAAGTGTCATTTTTCAAACTGCCTAAATCACAAATGATTATTTTTGCTAAATTTTAATTCTGTCTTCTATACTTTCCTTTGGAATCTTTTTAAACTTCGGCTCCATTGTGGAATAAAGTTTTTCCCTATTTCCTTGAAGAAAAAGACAAACAAATTAAATGTGCTCATAGGCTTTTATTTCTTTTATTCTTACCTAACTTCGAATAGGTAATGGAGAGTGAAGAGTTCATGTTACTTCCAGCCAACCAACTCATTGATATAATATCTAGTGATGAGCTAAATGTTCGCAGTGAAGAACAAGTATTCAATGCAGTGATGGCATGGGTCAAATATAGTATTCAAGAAAGACGTCCTCAGTTACCCCAGGTAATAACAGAAATGCTTTGTACTAGAAGAAACTAAGTGCACTTGTCTTGTAGAAATGAAATAGTCATCATTCTCCCTTATGTTAGACAGAAAGGAAGTCTACTTGTTTCCAAATAAAGAAGTAAGCATTTACAGAAGCACTTTGACTGCTTGTCATTGTGAACTGTTTTTCATTGTTACTGTTCTGTTCTGTTGAGACAGCTTATCTCCATAGCCCAGACTGGCCTAGAACTCACAGTTCTTCTGCCTCAGCCTCCCAGGTGCTGAGATTACAGACATGAAGCACCATGCCCAGCTCTTTATTGTGATTTTTTGTTCCTTTGCCTCCCCTGATTTGGATTCATTCTACATTTGAGCTGTAGCACAATTCAAAATCCTAAATTATATAAAATGAACAAAAGAATGCAAGGATTCTGCTTTCTGTATAACTTAGATATCCTACCACACTTTGAACAATAAAGTGATGAACTGGAGCATGAGTGATCACTGAGAGAAATGTTTAAGACTCCTTTTTTTGGTTTTTTGAGGTGGGGTCTGTATGTTACTCAAGCTGGCCTTGAACTGTGATCCTTCCAATATCTGCCTCTTTAATACAGCAGGCATGGGCCTTATGACTATGCAATAGTCTCCTTGTCCACAGGGGATACGTTCCAAGATATTTAGCAGATGCCTGAAGAACCTCCAGATCTTAGATATTCTGTTTTTTCATATGCATACATACCTGTGGTAAAGTTTAATGTGTAAGTTAGGTACAGTAAGAGATTAACAACAGTAACTAATGATAAAGCACAATGATTATAGCAATGGATTATAATGAAGATTATTTGAAATTTATGAACTATTTATTTCTAGAATTTTCCATATATTTTCTGACCAAGGTTACCCACCAGTAACTGAAACCACAGAAAGCAAAATTGCAGCTAAGTGGCGAGTACTGTATACTTGAGTAGTTTAACAAGATATTCTTCCAGATTGTTAATTTTAATCCAATTATAGAAGATCTGAAACATATTGCTGAAAACTTAAAGTAGCAGTCTAAAGTGATACTACCATCCTTTCTAATTATTCTACATTACTGAATTAATTCAGAATACTTTTAGTTTAGTTTTAGTATTTATGCCTTTCATCCTTCTTCCTTATTTATTTATCATGCTCAATTAGACCCCCAAAATACTTGAAAGTACAGTAGGGGGGTAAGGTATGGGTCGTGTATTCTTTTAACTATCTTGTAGATGAGAGCTCATGCCTTTAATGTTTATCTCATAGGTGCTGCAGCATGTACGTTTGCCTTTGCTTAGTCCCAAGTTCCTGGTAGGCACAGTAGGCTCTGATCCCCTCATTAAAAGTGATGAAGAATGCAGGTAAGAGTGGCACTGGATGAGAAAAATCAAATAAGCATTCCTGTTTTCTTTTAATCTCCTTATTGATATTGCTTCCAAAATACTGTATTTCTTAATGCTAAAGCAAGGGCAGTATTTTGCAGGTTTTTCTTCTGGGCTAGGGTCAAGAGGAGGAGAAGGAAGAAGAGAGGACTGAACTTCCAGTATTCCATTCCATTAGTTTTTTTTTTGGGGGGGGGTGTTGCTTATTGGTGTGGAAGTGGCAATAAAGAGGTAGATTTCTAAGATTTTAATGCAAGTTTGAATTTGAAGAGGCAATTCTCTGCTATCTTTTTCTTGAGATAAATTGAATAATGCTTTTGGCTCTGTGTCAGCATTTTTTCATTTCATCACATATGGGAAATAGAACCAGCTTTGCTTCTAAGATAATGGACAGAGTTAAATATCTGCCACTTCCTAAATAGCATTGAAAAAATTTCTACTAGAATTAGGTAAAGTAGAATACAAATAATGTTTTTTGGAAAAAAAATACTCATTTTACTGGACTGGTCTCTGTAATACTGCTGTAATACATGCAAAAATAAAATTTAATGAATTAATTTCCTAGTTTGACAGATTTTAAGATTTCCGTTCAAATCTGAAACTATCTGGTATATTCCAAATATAAAAATGAAAGAACAAGTCAGTCCTCAGAACTCCTTAAACTACACTGACTTTTGTACCTCCCTTGGTGATTAAAGAAATTTGGAATTATTCCCGATTCTAGAACAGAGTTAGGAAATATTCACTGAAATATTCACTGCATTTCTTCTATAATCTGAACCCTGTTCCTTTTACAGGAGATAGAGTGAAGGGATTAGGTGTTTGTCTTTTAAATGAAAAAAATGGTAATTCATATGGGCTGGATATAAAGAAACAGTCCATAGTTGACCTCCTCTATTAAGTGAAAATCAGATTGATGTGATTTTGATGCAGAAAGTTAAATTAAGGTACTTGTAAAGTCACAGGTACCTTACCATTTACTAGGTGTGTGGCCTAGACATGTTACTTTAACCTCTTTGTGCTAGTTTCTTCATCTATAAAGTGGAGATAATAATAGTTCCTATTCCATAGTGATGTTGTAAAGATTAAGTGAGTTATATACATTAAGCATCTAAAACAGGGACTAGCATGTGTGTTTTTACTATCATTTTGTTGTTGTTGTTGTTGGTTTGCTAAGTATTAGCTCTATCATACTCTTTTAGGAACCTTTAACTGACTTAAAAACTGGCTGTTAGGAAATCAAAGAAAATTCTTAGAGAAGAAAATTCTTGATCATTGGCTTGATTTGGGGAGAGGAGAGTTGTTCATTTTTATGATTAGGATAGATAGAAAAGATTTTAGCAAAGCCTTATATAATGGAAAGTGCATTTATGTCATGCCTGAGACTGGTCATCAGGAATAAATTATTCTTTATATAGTGTGAGTAACTAAGAGAAATGAAAATATGAGGTAGTTTAGCAAACAATTTGAGTTGAAGAACAGAGTAACAGAATTTGCACTAGCTAGGCACTGAATGAATCTCTTAAAGGACTCAAGTGAAATAAGTACATAAACAAATAGTATTTAGGATATTGTATTTCAAGTGTGACTACCTGGTTCTTTTCTTAAAGTACCTTAATCAGAAGAAACTTCTGTTCATCTCAGTGAACTTGTTGAGATTAAACTATTCTTAGGGTACCACGTAGTAAAGTAGTATTAAGTGATTTACATTATTTCTTCTTGAAATCTGCTATTTGATCCAGTTTTATTACTATAATTGATTTAGCAAATATTTAGTGCCCTGGCCAGTGTGCTACTTTTCCATTGTCCTGAAGAACCTTATAAAATTCATTAAAATGTAGTGACTGTGCAGGCTGGTAATCGAGTTGTAATTTTTAGTTTTTCATGTTATTGTTGACTCTAAGCATGTTGGGCTTTAGAATTTGCACTGAGGTATGAGGTCACAATGGAAATTCCAATCAATTCACAATTCATAGTATGGCTTGCATCATTGCTTTCATGACTGTGTCAATTTTAATACCGACTGGCATTCATGATTTGTTTTGATTTATGCTTTCTCTCCTTTACCAACCTGTATTCTCCTAAACCATATTGGGACTTGACTAACAATGTTTTTTAGACAATTAGAACAAATGCAGAATTTCCTTTCTACAGAGACTTGGTAGATGAGGCTAAAAACTACCTCCTGTTGCCTCAAGAACGACCACTAATGCAAGGACCAAGGACAAGACCACGGAAACCTATCCGATGTGGAGAAGTACTCTTTGCAGGTTTGGATCTCAATGTTCTATAATTAAGCCAAATATTTTCCCACATGATTTGAATAATCATTTGGACAATTATGATCTGTCATCATACTAAGTCAACATGTAGCTTAACTCTTTATTTATTTTTCCTTTTTGTTTTTTGGTGGAACTGGAGTTGAACTCAACTCAGGGCCTCCTACTTGCTAGGCAGGCACTCTATCTCTCAACCCTATAGATTGACTCTTAACCCATGATCTAACCATGGTATTCTCCATAAGAGTGCTCTATTTTTATATACACCCAGAAATACCATGCAGTGGATGTTTTGTTGAAATGAGTCAAATGCTCATTTATATACCAAAGTGCAAGTCACTTCATAATTACATGGAATTGCCAAAAAAAATTTATCTTACATTAAACAGTTACACTCTTTACTAGCTCTTATTAACCATAGTTGAGCCTAAGGACAACCTGCTGTATTATGTTATTCCTACTATTTGTCCCTAAATCTTTGAGATCTTTCAGTTTTAGTTGCTTCAGTTCTACACATGTAAAGTTAGCTCTTACAAATTGAATATCCCTAATCCAAAAATCTAAAGTAAAAAATGCTCCAAAATTCCTAATCCAAAAATCTAAAGTAAAAAATGCTCCAAAATCACATTAGATTTTAGAGCATTTCAGATTAAGGATGTTAGCTGATAAAACCTATGCAAATATTGCACAATCTGAAAAACTCTAAAATCTGAAGCATTCTACTCCTAACATTTCATGTAAGGGATACTCTACCTATAGTAGTTCATTTTCCAGCTTTTTTAAAAAACACTGATTCATGGAGCTAACGGTCTTAAACTTCTCTAAGTTTCAGTAATTCCATATTCCTTAGATATGGGCACCTTCAACTCTACTGTCCCTCCTTTTTTTTCTTTTTTCTTTTTTTTTTTTTTGGTTGTACCTAGAGAATTTTTTTTCTTTTGTTTTTTACCCCCAGTACTGGGGTTTGAACTCAGAGCCTTGCACTTGGAAATTAGGCACTTTACCATTTGAGACATGCTCTTTTCCATCAACTTAACCAGTTGCTTATTTTTTTCTCTCAGTATGTGGGAATATACCTTTCCCTAAATATTTTTTTGATTTTTATGTATTTTTTTTTAGATAGATTTTCACTATGTAGCCCCCACTGGCCTCAAACTTGCTATCCACCTGGCTCAGCCTCCTCAGTCTCCTAAATGCTGGGATTATAGGTATGTACTACCACACTTGGATTTCCCTAAATTATTAGAAGGAAAATTTGATCCTTTCTGTTTTTACTTCCCTCTTAATTTTTTTCATTAAGATTTTGGTAAGTTGTACCATTTCTTCAAAAAGAAAAATTACACTAAAATTTCTTTTTCTTATTATCATCGTGCTTTTTCCCTTCTCTTTTTGGAGCATTCTTACATTTTGAGATTTCAAACTTAATTACTCACCATGCACTGAATTCCCCCATACTTCCAGTGTCCTAAAACCCTCTTTAATATTGATTTATCAGTTATTATTTCTGTTATCATTCTTTTTTCTTCCTGTTATTACTTTCCCCACTCTAGGGATCAATTCCAGGGCCTTGCATATGCTAGGCAGGTGCACAGACATTTGCATGTCCTATCTGCACACATCTGCATCCTTGCTCCTACATACCAGTTACCAAGGGTTGGTGACTAAATTCATTTTCAGATCTAGTTCAAGGAAGCCTATATGATACCTCTTTAGCTTTTATGGTTAAACTAGATAAGTTATATTTTAAAATTCTTTTAAACATGAAAGTAGTTTGTTGTGCCTACTCCCTATATGTGAAAGTCTGTTGAATATTATTTTAAGATGGGAAGGCTACAAGCTTTAATTATTTGGTACTTGTGGCTTCATAATTTTACATTGGTTTCAAGAATTATAGTAGTAAGGCCATCTTTAGAGCTATGTCCATTATTATGAAGATCTATTAAAAGTTTCATTTGGCTGTCAATTTTAGTATCTAGAATAGAGATGACTATACACTACTGCTTTATCAGCCTCATAATATTCTGGCCATTATTAAAAACTGCATTAAGGAGGAAGAGAGGGTAATGAAATTTGGGAAAATGGACACAAAAGCTTCCATCTGATTAAAGGCTAGAGACTAAGCTAAATAGATGTATGAAAGTGAATGTCAGTTCCAGGGTCCTTTCTGGCTTTGGCTTCAGTGGGGTTACCAGTCCAGGGAAGCATGCAAGATATACCTTTTTGAATGCTGAAGACAATGTAGCTTCCTTTAAATAGGAATTTAAACTTGACTTCACTTGAATTACTCAACAGTCACCATCTTCATGCTGCTGATTCCATTCATACTCTTCCAATTTGACATTATTATAAATTGTTAAGTGACATATTTTCAGTGTGTGACCTTCTTCATTAAAATTACATTTGTCTCTTTGGATTAGATGATTATACTAATGAGGCCATGCACTGCCTTATTTAGAAGCCACTAAATTGTATCTGCTTCCTGGGTGAGCATGTAACTCAGTGGTGGAGCTAGAGCCCTTGCCAACCATGTGCAAGGCCCTGGGTTTGATCCCCAACACTGCAAGCGAAAAAAAAGGATCTGTTTTGCAATCTCAGACTCTTACTATTGATCTTGTAATTTGGTATATAATTCCTCCACTATAATGTTAACTACTTGAGGTCAAAAGACCATTTCTAATTTATCTTTGTAGTTTTCAGATTGTATAGCATTCTTGTCAGAGTAGGCACTCAATGAAGAATAGTTGAATGCTGTTGATCCTGAGGAACACTGTAAGAGATTAGCATTGACCCATCATGATTAATGAAAAAAAAAAGCAATAGTGATTACAAATGTCACCTTCTATATAAAAAATAACTGTAATAGATTGCCTTCGTAGGCAGAATGAGGTCCTGAGTTCAAACCCCAGTACAAAAAAAAAAAAAAACCACTTTGTTTTTCTGACTGTGGAAGTGAATACACCTTTACCATCTGGACTCGTTTGTCTCTACTTAATCTTTAGTTTGCTTTGGTTTTTATTGCTTTTTTAAATAAATATTTATTAGGATGTATTCATTTTATAGGGAGAGGGATTCATAGTAACAATTCCGATTAGTCTTATGTTATGCATTATTTACATTGCCCCCATCACCTCTCCCCATCAGCCCCCTCCCCATCCCACTTAAAGCAATTGCAAGAGGTTTTTTAAGTTCTGTTTCATATAGGTATATGAAGTCCATCAACCATATACCATCACCTTAATCTTCTTCCTTCACCCTCCCCTCTCTCCTCCCACTAGTATCTCCCCTACCCCTGCACACACTGTGCCTATTTTACAGTCCTGGTTATCATTATTAATGTTTGAGTTGACATTCAATGGGGTGTCTCAATGTATGCCCACTGTGGGTGTGCTTTATTTTGATCTGTTCAATCCCTTTGATTACTCTCCCTTACCCCTTTACCTCCCATCTCCCATTTTTCAACAGTTTTCAATACACATCCTCATATCCTCTACCTTGGTATGCAATATTACTGATGCTCGATCATTCTCTTTTCCTTTCTCTCTTTCCCCGAGTTCCATAGAGTAGTTCCACTGTTACAAATGTGTTGTACAATTGAATTTGTATATGATCATGTTTATTTTTGTGTATATGTTTATCTTTCAAGCTATCTTCCATGTATGAGAGAAAACATGCATCTTTTGTGTTTCTGATCCTGACTGACTTCACTTAGCATGGTGTCCTCCAACTGCATCCATTACCTACAAACCCCATGTCATTATTCATTGTGACTAATACTTCATTGTGTATATATACCACAATTTCATGATCCATTCATCAGTTGCAGGGCATTTGGGTTGTTTCCAGAGCTTGGCTGTTGTGAATAGTGCTGCAGTGAACATTGGTGTACAGGTGTCTCTACTGTAGCCTATCTTATGTTCTTTTGAGTAGATGCCCAGGAGTGGTATCTCTGGATCATATGGCAGTTCTATTTCTAGTTTTTTGAGGACTCTCCATACTGCTTTCTATAGTGGTTGTACTAATTTGCATTCCCACCATCAATGTATAAAGGTTCCTGTTTCACCACATCCTTGCCAGCATTTGTTGTTGTTATTACCCTTGATTATGGCAATTCTAAGTAGGGTGAGATGAAATCTAAGTGTTGTTTTGATTTGCACTTTTTCTATAACCAGGGAAGTTGAACACTTCTTCATGTATTTACTGACCATTTGTACCTCTTCCTTTGAGAATTCCCTGTTTAATTCATGTGTCCATTTCTTCATTGGGGTACTGAATCTTTGGCAGCTGAGTTTTTGAGTTCCCTGTAGATTCTGGATATCAGTCCCTTGTCAGATAAATAGCTGGCAAAGATTTTTCTGCCATTTTGTTGGCTGTCTCTTGAGTCTGGTGACTGTTTCCTTTGCTGTGCAGCTCTTTAGTTTGCTGCAGTCCCATTTGTTCGTTGTTCCTCTTAGATGCTGAGCCTTTTGGGTTCTGTTTAGGAAGTCAGTCCCTATACCTATCTGTTCCAGTGTATTTCCTACTGCTTTGTGAAGTTGTTTCAAAGTTTCAGGCCTTATATTAAGGTCTTTGATCCACTTTGAGTTGATTTTGGTACAGGGTGAAAGACAGGGATCTAGTTTCAGTCTTCTGCATGTGGATATCCAGTTTTCCCAGCAGCATTTGTTGAAGAGGCTGTCTTTTTTCCATTGTGTGTTTTGGGCACCTTTGTTGAAGATCAGTTGGCTGTCGATGTTTGGGTTTATGTCTGGATCTTCTATTCTGATCCACTGGTCTTCCTTTCTGTTTTCGTGCCAATACCATGCTGTTTTTATTATTACGGCTCTATAAGTATAGTTTGAAGTCGGGTATTGTGATGCCTCCAGCATCAGAATTGCTTTGACTATTTGAGGTCTTTTGTGTTTCCATATATATTTCACTATTGTTTTTCTGTTTCTGTGCAGAATGTCATTGGAATTTTGATAGGGATTGCATTGAACACGTAGATTGCTTTTGGTAGTATCACCATTTTTACAGTGTTGATTCTCCTGAAGCATGGAAGGTCTTTCTGTCTTCTGATGTCTTCTCCAATTTCTTTCTTCAGTGGTTTATAGTTTCCATTGAAAAGGCCTTTGGTTTTTTTTGTTAGATTTATTCCGAGGTACTTTATTGTTTTTGAGGCTATTGTAAATGGGATTGTTTCCCTGATTTCTTTCTCAGTCTGTGCGTTGTTGGTATATAGAAAAGCTACTGATTTCTGTATGTTAATTTTGTATACTGCTACTTTGCCAAAAGAGTTTATGATTTCTAGTAGTTTTTTGGTAGAGTTTTTGCGGTCTCTTAGGTATAAGATGTCATCTACAAATAGAGATAGTTTGACTTCTCCCTTCCCTGTTTGAATCCCTCTTATTCCTTGCTCTTGTTTTATTGCTCTGGCTAGGAATTCCAAAACTATATTGAATAGGAGTGGAAAAGTGGACAACTCTGTCTCATTCCTGACTTTAAGGGGAACAGCTTCAGTTGTTCTCCATTTAGTATGATGTTGGCTCTAGGTTTGTCATATATAACCTTTATTATGTTGAGGAACGTTCCTTCTATTCCTTGTTTCTTCAGAGCTTTTATCTTGAAAGGTGTTGGATTTTGTCAAAGGGTTTTTCCGCAGCTGTTGAGAGGATCATGTGGTTTTTGTCCTTACATCTGTTTATGTACTGTATTACATTTATGGATTTACATATGTTGAACCATCCTTGCATCCCTGGAATGAAACCAACTTAGTCATGGTATGTGATCTTTTTGATGTGTTGTTGAATTCTGTTTGCCAGTATTTTGTTGAGAATCTTTGCATCTATATTCATTAAAGATACTGGTCTATAATTCTCTTTTTCTGGTTATGTTTTTATTGCGTTTCAGAATGAGTATAATGCTGGCTTCTAACAATGAGTTTGGTAGTGTTCCTTCCCTTTCTATTTCTTGAAAAAGTTTGAGGAGTATTGGCATTAGTTCTTCTTTAAAGTTAAAGAAGGTAAAATTTGGCCATGAATCCATTAGGTCCTGGGCTCTTCTTTGTAGGGAGACTCTTTATTACTGTTTCAATTTCATTGCATGTAATAGGGCTATTTAGGTGATTAATATCTTACTGGTTCAATTTTGGTTGGCTATATACATCTAGGAATTTATCTATTTCATTTAGATTTTCCAGTTTACTTGAATATAAGTTTTCAAAGTACTTTCTAATGATTCTCTGGATTATCTTTGGAATGTCAAGTCACCGATTCTCACTTTACCTTGGAAAATTGAATCTTGCCTTCATCATTCTATGGAAATAAAGTAAACACTGAAAGTCTAAACTCAAAACTATTATCTCAAAAGTTTTGACCCAGGAGCATCTTACTCCTACTCCTGTCTTCATTTCTGGATTTTCCTCCTTTTTTCCAGTAGGTGTTTCCATGCCTGTCAATTTTGAGTTGCCTTCTTTAAGATAATACTTTTTGGGCAAATCTGAACTGAAGTATTTCATTTTCTACAAATAAAACTGTATGTCCCCTTTTCTGCAATATTTTTCCTTAGGTGTATTACTTAAAACAAATTGAGAGTTCCCAGTGAAGGAACTTTCATTTTGCTAAGTACAGTATGTAAGTCATCTTGATCTATAATAACAAAATGCCATAGCCTGTGTGACTTAAGTAATCAAAATTTATTTTTGCACAGTTCTGGAGGTTAGAAGTCTAAAAATCAAGGTGCCAGCAGGATTACAGTGGGTACCTTCACCTGTATCCTCACATGGCCTTTGTCTATGTGCAAAGGTAGAAAGAAGGAGCTCTCTGGTGTCTCTTCCTCTTGCAAGAACACCAGTCCTATCAGATAAGGACCCCATCCTTATGACATCATTTAACCTAATTATCTCCTTAAAGGCCCTGTCTCCAAAAACAGTCACAATGGGGCTTTGGTTTTAATACATGGGTTTTGGGGAGACACAATGCAGTCCTTAACATTCACTTATGTTATCTATTGCTGCCTTGGAAATCTTAATGCACAAAAAACTACCATTAGGCAGTGAAAATGAACAAACCTTTGCTCTTTTCCTCTTCTTTGGTTTTTTTTTATTTTGTTTTGTTCTGTTTTAGCAGTACTTAGGTTTGAACTCAGAGCCTCATGCTTGCTAAGTAGGTGCTCTGCCACTTGTGCCAGTTCTGCCTTTTCTCTTCTTGCTTCCCTACATCACAGAAAAGATTTAAATTTCAGTCTCTAAAGATCAGTTTTTTCCTTTGGTATTGAAGAACATCACTTATAAAGTAATATTTTATTTGATTTGGAGCCATATAATCGAATAAAAAGTTTGTTTAATGGCCTCTATTTTAAAATTGTGCCTGAGATTTAATGATTAACCTTATCTCATTGGTTTTAAGGGCTATAAACCCTCACATTTCCAGGCTAGTTTTATTTTAGAATTTAGGGTACTTTCCCTGATACTAAAATTCCTTATATCTATCCAGTTACAGAATTCAAATTTAAGCAAATTACTGTATACAAAACTTGCTGTCATTTAGTATCAGTTGAATATTCTGATTTAAATGAAGCCACAATAAAATAAAAATTTTTATTACATTGAGATTTAAAATAAAGAAAGTGAACTTTTAGATCCATCTAGAGGATGGTTAAGAGCATTATTTCCCTTTTAGTCTGGCTCAGAAATTTACTTGAGATCCTCTGGAAACTAAAGTTTTCAAATGTTTTGAGGTTATGATACCCTTTTTCTTCATTTTTTAAGCTCCAGAATCTAGCTCGTATTTTGGATTGAAATAGAGATGGATTGAAAGAAAAATAAATTTAGCATATCTGCCATTACCAGTGTTTTTCAGAGACGCTTAATGGAACTCAGTTTGAAACTGTTATTCTGAATGTTACGTACCCAAATTAGTGTACTCAGACTGCCATAATAAAATACCATAGACTGGGTGGTTTAAACAAAAGAAATGTGTTTTCCCACAGTTCTGGAGACTAGAAGTTCAAAATCAAGGCTCTAGCCAATTCAGTTCCTAGCGACTGACCTTGTACTTTGACTTGTTCTAGAGACATTTGGTTAGTCCATTTATTAGGTCACAGGGAGGTTAGCAGTGATTGATACATTCTATGCTTTAGGACCATTTCTCTTAACCATTTCTGTTACTTCCTAGTTGGTGGTTGGTGTAGTGGAGATGCCATTTCCAGTGTTGAACGATATGATCCACAGACCAATGAATGGAGAATGGTAGCTTCAATGAGCAAAAGACGATGTGGAGTCGGGGTCAGTGTTCTTGATGACCTTTTATATGCAGTAGGAGGCCATGATGGATCCTCTTATCTGAACAGTGTTGAAAGGTGAGCAAGGTTAATTTGAAATGTTTTTTCTATTATTCCTATAGCTTTATTTAAGATGTTACTTAGGAAACAAATGTGACTTACTGCTTTAGTATTACAGCTGTTGCACCAGTTGGTAGCCTAAACCACTTAGCCTGACATACAGGTCCTTTATGACATGATCTCCACTTACTTTTCTAATCTTTTTCCCATTGGACACAACCATTCGCTAAACATGCTCCTGCAGACACAACAAATTGCTTTCAGTTCTTTGGACACACTATCTTCTTTCATACCTCTTTCCCTACCTATATGCGTGCTGTTCTTTCTTCCCTGGAATATCTCTGCCCCTTTAAGACTGACAAATCCTTTAAAATTCATACTGTTACTTTCTACATAAAACCTTGTCTGACTATACAGATGAGTTACTCATTCCTCTGCTCTTTCATAAGTATTTTGAACATGCCTGTACATGTCACATTGTGCTATAATTGTTGAAATGCTGTTATGATAGGTATAGTATCTATCATAGTATTCGGCATATTGGAAATCTATAGTGACTGATACTTTAATAGTTTCTTGTTCTCACCTTTTTCAATAAACTGTTGGTTTACAGTAGTTCTTGATATTTCTGTAACACATCTATGAAACTCGTAGCATATTAAATTCTAGATGTATAGATGGTGTAGCAAAAAAACAACAATAACAACAAAAACAGAAGTGTGTTGGGGGCATAGGGAGAAGGACACTTAAAAATAAACAGATGGGTTAAGGAAATCAGAGTAGAAATAACTAAATATTTGTAACTTTAAATTAAGCATATATATCAAAATGTATAAAATGCAAAATAAGATTGTATTCAGGCAAATTTATATGCATGCTAACTTACATGGGTTTTTGTAATTTATATGCATTTGAAAATAAGAATGAAAGTGATAGCCAAATGTGGTAGTGCATGTCTATAATCCCAGCACTTTGGGAGGCTGAAACAGGAGGCTCTTATCTGGAGTTTACGGCCAGCCTGGGCTACATAGGAAGGACCTATCTTTTAAAAAAGAAAAGTAAATCATGCTTTTAAATCAAGTTATAAACACAGCAAGAAAACCCAGCAAAACAGAAAAATAAGCAATGAGGAGAAAAAAGTTAATGATATTTTTAAAAAGAAAAATTGATATAACAATGAAAAGCAATTTGATAGTATTTTGTTGTTTTTTGTTTTATTTTTGTTTTTGTGATGCTTGGACTCAAACCGAGGGCCTTATGCATGCTAAGCAAACACTCTTATCACTGAGCTCTACCCCCCAGCCTGATAATCACTGTTTTTAATTGCAAAATATCAGAAATGGCCTAAGATACATCAGTAAGAATATGACTAAATAATGGATGGCACATACAATGTAATAAAATGGTGGTTCAAAGGGAAAATCTAGAGCTATATTAGCATAAGTAGATCTAAAAATATATTGAGAAAATAGTGCCGACTGTGTGGCATTATTTATGTAAAGAAAACATGCTTGCATATAAAGAAATATATATGTGGAGATATATACATATATACATATGTATATACACACACATATTTAAAACTGTTTTACTGATAAGTAAATATTCATATATAACTTAAGTAGAAATGAATTTCAAGCCAGTGGCAGTGGCTCAGTCCTGTAATCCTAGCTACTCAGGAGACAGAGATCAGGAAGATCATGGTTCAAAGCCAGCCCAGGCAAATAGTCCACAAGACCCTATCTTGAAAACCCCTTCACAAAATAAGTGTGGGCGGGGGGGGGGGGAGGCTGGTAGAGTGGCTCAAGGTGCAGGCCCTGAGTTCAAGCCCCAGTACCTAAAAAAAAAAAAAAAGAGTTTCAAGAAATAAAAAATAGAGGAATATGGGCTGGAAATGTGGCTGGGTAGAATGATTGCCTAACATGTACAAGGCCCCAGGTTCAATCCCCAGCACCACAAAGAGAATATTCACAAACACACACATTAGATTTTCACATGCTTTCATTATACTTTGAAGAACGAATATATATCTTATCAATCCTTTGGTTTGAAATATGTAAACAATAGCCAAGCTTCTATTATATAATTTAAAAACTCTGCTCTTAATGTGTTCTTTGCAGATACGACCCCAAAACAAACCAATGGAGCAGTGATGTGGCTCCTACAAGCACCTGCAGGACAAGTGTTGGTGTGGCAGTACTTGGAGGCTTCCTCTATGCTGTAGGTGGCCAGGATGGTGTGTCTTGCCTCAACATTGTTGAGAGGTGATTTTTTTTTAAGTCATTTTTAATTTCTCTTAAAAGGACATACAGGGTTCTTTTTTTTGTTTTTATTCTGAGACAGCGTTCCACTGTGTAGTCCATGCTAGCCTGGAGCTGTCAATCCTCCTGTCTCAGCCTCCCAAGTGCTGGGATTATAGGCATGCTGCCATACCTTGCTAAGGGTTCTTTAAAAGTGACAGTTACTACTGAATTTAGATACTGGGAGATCCACTGTTCAGTGGACTTCCCATAGGCTTTCAGGAAGGCATTTTTAGTTGTCTTAAAATCTAGAAAGATTGAAGGATATAAAAAATTATTTTAATTGACAAATAAAAATTGTATGTATTTATGGTGAACATGTTTTGAAAAATGTGTGCCTTGTAGAATGGCCAAATCAAGCTAATTGTCTTACCTCTCAGAGTAGTTTTCAAGTATATAATACATTTGTTATTAACTATAATCACCATATGATACATTAGATTTTCTTGAACTTACTCCTGAAATTTTGTATGCTTTGACCAGCATCCCCCTAATCCTGCCCAGCTCTCACCCAGCACAGTAGAGAACTGAGCCCATTTTACACTCTGCTTTCTATGAGTTAGAGCTCTTTAGATTCCACATACAAGTAAGATTATACAACATTTTTCTTTGTTCCTAACTTACTTAACATAATGTCCTCTAGATCCATCTGTAGTGTCACAAATGACAGGATTTCTGTCTTTTTTTATTTTCTTAAGTCTAAATAGTAGTCATTCTGTGCATGTGTATACCATACTTTTTTTCCTCTGTGTCTAATATATCTCTAGTGTGATTTCAGACTGGGAACAACTTCAGTTAATAAGAACATGGTTTCTTCTCACTGCAGGTATGATCCAAAGGAGAACAAGTGGACTAGGGTGGCTTCAATGAGTACTAGAAGACTAGGTGTGGCTGTGGCTGTGTTGGGAGGGTTCTTATATGCTGTAGGTGGCTCTGATGGGACATCTCCACTCAACACAGGTTAGTCCCTCCCAAAGTCAATCTGGTTCCCCAAAGCAGCACATTTTCCTGTGGAGACTCCCCCTATAAAACACATAAGAAGTCCAAATTATCTTGTAATTTGTTACTAGGAAAATGTTTTCTTTTCTCTGTAGGAGAGAGAACTCTCAGTAGTTTCTGTAGTCATGCTCTTCTAATATATTCCCAAAATATTTCTTTTTCCCTCAGCTTTATAAGCTGCTAGAAATGTATAACAAATAAAAGACCTACTTTCTGGATGTAATTATTTCCCTTCCCCCCACAATCACAACCTCTTCTCACTAAAGAAACAAGTAAATAAATAAGAGAGTATTTTATAATTAATAAAACTCAGAAGTAAGAACTGGTTTATTCGTTATTCCTTTCTATTTAGAGATAATGGATATTTTTGCCTTAAAGATATTGTCAGTGTGGCACTTCCATCAGATTCATTGCCATATATCTTGTCTTCTCTTCAATGGCTTAAGCTGCTATAGGCTATAGGCAAGAGAGTACAAAAGTACACAAGTTATCTGACTATAATAATAAATTATTAGTACTGAATGTGCTTATAAATCATAATCCAATCCTTCCATTTGATAATATGTAGAGTGAGGCTGCAGGTCATACTGAGTTGATTGAATAGTCACTTCCTGATATTTCTTTTCACTGCAGTGGAGCGCTACAATCCTCAGGAAAACAGATGGCACACCATAGCCCCTATGGGGACCCGGAGGAAACACCTAGGCTGTGCAGTGTATCAGGACATGATCTATGCCGTAGGAGGGAGAGATGATACTACAGAGCTTAGCAGTGCTGAGAGATACAACCCCAGAACTAACCAGTGGTCTCCTGTGGTGGCCATGACATCCCGCCGTAGTGGAGTAAGTGCCTGGCTACCAAGAGCTTTGAGTTTGGCAAACACTCACCAAGAGAGGGCTGTGGAGAAGGGATGCTCTGATCTATAAAGTATAATACACTGGGACAGTAAGGAGTTAAACTACTGTTCCTATGTATTTTATTTTCCAACCGTGTCATCTGATGCTATTGGGATGCTTTTAGGCAAAACAATCCTTGCTAATTTTATACTAGAAAAAAATGGATTTCCTTTCATTGCTTTTAACTCTTAATAGTTACATATCATATATTCATATCTTTAATTAGTTAATTTTTTATGATTCATCTTATACCAGTTGCTTCTCTGGAAGGCATCTCCTTATATTACCTACTACTTTATCTAACTTCATATCTAGAGCAAAACATTCCTATGAAACATTTCCAGCTAACATTCCGGGTAGTTTGCATACTAATATAGTGTTTAGGCAAAAACATATCTGGCCCCTCCATCAGTCTTCACAAGCTGATTTCAGTCTATCTCATTTATAGTACAGGACAGATCTGGTTGACCTAGGTCATGTTCTAGACCATGAATAATCTGTGGCTACAGAAGACTTCCATTGTATAGTATAGAATTCATTCCTCCTGGAATGTTTGGCTCAGTGAAGTGTGACCTATTAACCATAGATCATGTCAAGAGTCCATCAATGTAGGACACATCCAAAAAAAGGAAGGAGGAACAAACAGTATCTAAAAATCTCATTATCTGAGGATAAGGAGTGAATTCTGGTTTGCATAAGTCTTAGAACACCACTGGAAGGCATCAAGTTAAAGAATTCATATATATAGTTTTTTAGTCACATTCCTGTTATTTTTACTTGACATCCTATTGATTATATTTTCACTCAATAAGCAAGTATTTAAGTGCTTACTGAACAGACAGGAAAAATGAGTATTGACATGGTTCCTTTCCTCAAGGAGTTCCACATTTAGTGAAGGAAATTGAAATGCTTATAGCTAATTATAATAAATAAATACTGTGTGTCATAGAAGAACACAAATGAATGTGCTTAATACTTTGGAGAAGTAAGCATGGATGCAGGCAGTGAAGAACCTGCAGAGACGGTCACATGTAAGCTAGGTTATAAAGGAAAAATAAGGTTTTCCAGCATTAGTACAGAAAACACCTACCAGGGAACAACATGTGCAAAACCATGAGGTGTAAAAAATGTGTGGTATTTTAGAAACTACAGTTAATGCAATATTACTGCAACATGGGGTGCTTTAGGAAGAGGAAGGGGGAAATGTGAGACTCAAACAGGGGCCTGTGACAGTTTTCTGAAAAGCTTTGCTAACATTTAGAACTTTAAACTTATCTTTAGGCGGGGGGAGGCTTAGAGAGTTTTTAAAGAGGAGTGACAACATGGTTAGATTTGTATTTTTAAATTAGAATTTTAGTAGCAATTTAGAAAGTAGATAAGAGTGAACAAACACTAGAGAAAGTGAGAGCAGTTTGGAGATTCTCACTCACACCTAGTGAGCTTTCTCCTAAAATTCAAAAATATGTTTTGAGCTTTTGTGTACATATTGTAATTGAATACATAATTTAATAATACCCATAAGTTGATCCTCTGTGCTCAAGTACACTAGAATGTTAAACTATACAGAATTAAATAAATTTATCTAGAAACAGTCTAAAATTTCCTGGTACTTTTCTCTATTCTTCAACAGCCACTGTGCTTTGGTATTACAGGTTGGCCTGGCAGTGGTCAATGGACAGCTCATGGCAGTAGGAGGTTTTGATGGCACAACATACTTGAAGACCATTGAAGTTTTTGATCCTGATGCCAATACATGGAGGTAACTTTAGGCTGTGTTGCAAATCTCCTCATTACTGACTTGAAATCATAGGCTAGAGATAGCTCACGACCATCAAGATTAGGATAGTCAGTAAAGTGAGATCCCTCTTGTAGTACTTTAAGGTGTTCTGAAGTAACAGATTTGATGATTTATCTTGACTTGATTGCTCTAAAGTGACTGTTATCAAACTCTTCTCTTTGGTAACTAGTTTTATAATTAGAAATGAGAAAAACAGAGGGAAAATATCCCTTCTATCCCCATCATGTTGAACTGAGGAAACTAAGGCACTGAGAAAAAAATGATTTGCCTAAGCAAGTTAGCAACAGACTTAGAATTAGAATCTAGTTCTTTGGCCCCAACCTGTCCATGCAGGTTTTGTTGTTTTGGTGGTAAGCCTCATGTGGGGAAGAATGTGTGTACAGTTAATTTTTTTTAAATACGTTTTATTTTAAAATCTATTTTTCCTTTAGCTTTTGTAGATCTACTTAAATAGATTCTTCTATTTTGAATTCTAGTACATTTTAATAGTCACCATAAGGGAGGAAACTACATTTTACTAAGCTTCATTAACAGGTTTAATTTTACATTGTTTCTAAATCTGTAATTGCCAGGGCTGGAGTTGTAGCTCAGTGGTATGGTGTATGCCTAGCATGCATGAGGTCCTGGGTTCAGTCCCCCTCCCTGCCCAAAAAAAATCTTGTCTAATTAATCCTTCCTAAGTATTTATAAAGTCCTTAGATTATAAAGCAGGTGAGTCTTCCATTTATTTAAATATTCAAAACATTTATAAACTTAGTAAAATTCTATTAAACTTTTAAACTTAATTATTAAGTTAGGGGTTTTTTTTTGGGGGGTTTGGTTTTTGGTGGGACTAAGATTTGAACTCTCTGTTTTGTGGTTACAAAGCAGGTGCTCTACCGTTTGAGCCATACCTCTAGTCCATTTTGCTTTGGTTATTTTGGAGATGGGGTCCCACAAACCATTTGTTTGGGCTGGCCTCAAACTGCAATCCTGCCAATCTCAGCCTCTCAAGCAGCTGAAGATTGCAGGTGTGAGCCACTGGCACCCAGCAAAATCTAAATCTTTACTCAATCACACATTTTATGTGAGACTCATTGGAGTAATCTAATAGATATTCTAAAATGCTGAATTCCCTTAAATATTACAATAACTTAAAGTGTCAAATATAAAGTTAATTCTCAAAATTAACTTTAAAAAAAATTAATGCTATCAGGTTGATGTACTTCCTAGCTATACTTAATTCTAAATTAGTCTTCTAAGAAAACAGTTTGCCTTCTAAGCAGTTTGGAGTTTACCTTTTCATTAAATTGGCCTATTACTTGCCTCAGCAAATTGAAAGTTGCTATCTCCTCCATAGCTGAGGTTGCACAGCAACTGGAGATTTCAGTCAGAACATGAGATCTCAGGCAGCAGACATTCTGAGATGTTTTTCTCACAACCATGAAGGACAAGCTGAGCTCTGCCTTACAGTTACTTACCATTCTAAGACAGCCAGTCTCAGAGTCCGTTCCCACTGTATTCCAGTGAAACACTTTCTAACTTTGAGCTACAACTCCCCACCCAAGTTTTCTCATTACCCTATTACATTCAATTTATAATTTATTGAATATCTTTTATAGTCTTATCTCTGGAAAACTCCACAGTTCTTGCAGATTCCTCTCCCCCTACTCCCTGCTGGGGGTCATCCCAGGGCTTCAGGCATGCTAGGCAAGCTCTCTACTATTGAGTATACCCCCAGCTCCTCTTATAGATATGTAAATGACTTTTCTATCTGTGTACCTCTCAGGGCCATTCTGTATAACTCAGTAGTCACAATATTAAAGTCAAGTTAATGACAGAGTAGTACTTTTTGCTCAAACATTGCATTTTTATGACACTGCTCATTAAAGATTTACTGAGTATTCTAGACCATGGGGCTACAGAAGTGAGCAAAACAAAGTTCCCTGTCCTCCTGGGGATGGTATCATAGTGAGGCAGACAAACAGTGCCATATCATGGGTGGAGGTGCTATGTGAATACCAAAGTGGCGGGGGGCAAAGGGGGGGGAGGTAAACTAGGGAGGACCAGGAGAGTCTGTTGTAAAGGGGCACAGAAAAGGTCACATTTTAGCAAAACCTAACACAGATAAAGGATAGATAATGGCAGATTGTCATGCATAGGAGCCTCCCACTTGTGGGATATTTTCTTCCATATACAATTTTTAGTAGGAATTTGGGGTAAGCATAATTTGAAAAGACAGCCAAATTTATTTCAACATAATCACCATAATGGATTAATTCATGCAAAGACTTGTTTCTCAGTTACTCTCACCAAACAGTAATGTATGATGAAGTCATATTCATAAAATTCTTGAGGATTCAACTACAGAGATTAATATCTAAGTTTTTGCTGTTGCATATCCTAAACTTAAAATCAGTTTTACCTTCCTGTTGATGAGAATATAGTATTCTTTTCCATGGAAGTCTTCAGTTTTGAAGGTGATCTTGCTCATATGTCACAAACTAGATGCTGACACTATTTACTATGTTTTTGTTGCATACAGAATTTGAGGAGGCTTATAAGAGTACATAAAGGCAAAGGGATAAAAATAAATAATTGAGCCAGATACAGTGGTACACACTTGTAATTCCAGCAGTTCAGAGGCAGGAGGATCATGAGTTCAAGGCCAGCCTCAGCTACGTAGCAAGACTTTGTCTCCAAAAAATAAATAAATAATTGGGGAAATTAGACAAAGGGAAAATGTGGATAGGGAAAAATAAGACACAAAAAAGGAGAATATATGATTGTTAGAGGCCATTTTGGTATAAAGTTGTGATGCAAAAAATGGGGGGCTAGTGGAGTGGTTCAAGTGGCAGATCTCCTGCCTAATGAGCCCAAGGCCCTGAGTTCAAACTCTGGTACTGCCAAGAAAAAAAAGGGGGGAGGGATGAACATGATATTCTTTGTTCTTTAAACAGACTTCTCCTGCAGTGACAACTTTTCAGTGTCTGAAATAATTCTGCTTATCTGTGCTCAACTTGCTTCTAGTCTTTAGAAGAGTTATATGAAGCTTAAAATATTAGTTGTGCTGTAAAACAGAAATGTATGTTTGACAAATAGCTTAGTTACAGAAGAAACAATGTGCTTTGTTTTCCATTAGAAAATCTGATTTTGTTTTTTCTTTGCAGGTTATATGGTGGGATGAATTACCGTCGGCTAGGAGGTGGTGTAGGAGTTATTAAAATGACACATTGTGAATCCCATATATGGTGACCATGTAGAAGAAAGCATTGTATATACTCCTCTATATTTAGGAGAATCTTGACTTTGAAGCTTTGTACAGCTTGAAAAAACATTAGAACAAATTTTATTCTTTGCCGGTGCCTCAACATACGGAACTACAAATGTAATAATACTTCACCCGCAAGATGCCACCTTTGCACAGTAACTTTCAACTCTGCAGAAGAATATTTATTTTGGGTTTAATTTATCATGGTGTTTGTTTTGGGTTGTTTTTGGGTTTTTTTTGGCTTGGGTCCTTTGGGGGTTTTTGCTTTATTTTACTTATCCTTCCTCCCATGAAAAAAGAAAAAAAAATGACAAATCCAAGCAGCAAAACTTACTGTGTTTTTAAGGTATTAATTTAATTTTGAAAAATACTAATAAGGGCATACTATGTATGATCTTGTTTGTTTCTGCTAAACACTCCATATGACTCTACTATTTACAAGGATTGCCAGTAATAAATACAGGTATGCAAAACATATTAGCTAGGCATTATTCTTGCACTAAGCACCAGAAGACTTGAAAATCTGAAAGAAATAAAAACAAAAGAAAACATTAAATAGTACAATTCAGAAGGAATATTAAAACAACAAAAGCAGAACTCCAACACTACAGTTTTCATCAGTGGTAGTTCAGGCTCGTCTCCTAAATGAATTTGTTTTCCAGTCTGTTTAAAGTCTTTTTTTTTTTTTTCCATAATATTCTCACGGAGTTTCTGCTAGATCTATTTTGACCTCTACTCAGTGCCTCTTATAAAAATAATATATGAGTCCCACTCACTGTCGTGAGAATCCCCCGGTAGAATTTTATGCAACTCCGCAAGAGTTTTTGCTCACAGATGTTATCACCTGCAGCAACTTTCCTTCCTGTTTCCTTATTGCTACCAAGGACCAGCAGGGAGAAATGTCCTCTCCCCAAGAGCAAATTCTGTTCTGTAGTTCATACTCAATGCTCAGGCCTGATGAAGCAGAGGCTACCTTCAGTTACTGCCTCCGAAGGAATGAAGTCTTCAATCCGGGTAGTAGTACATATTAATGAGTGTAAAACCAATTGAGGCATGTCAACAATATTTGGATTCTTTCATATGAACTGTATGTAATTGTCTTCATTCTAATAAGGCCACTGTTATTTCTCTCAAACTGCACTTTCTGATGAAAAGTTAAAATTTTTAAGGAAACAAATGATAACAATTTTAGTGGTTAAAGTTTTTCCTCATTATAGTCATAGGCCGATTTTTTTTTCAATGTATTTTGGGACTTTAACTGCAACCAAAAGGAATAGCCTCCACTTTCTCCCCCTCCCCTACAACGTTTGGCAACTTTTGTGTTTACATTTAAAGATCATTTGCACCTTTTTCAAGGAAAAAATAAGTATTTGGTAAACAGTTGTTTACATGTATCATTTATGCTTTTTTCTAGCATGTATAACTTTTTTAAAATAAAGGTAGTATTTACCATAAAAAATTTTTGGTCACTGCTTTTTAATGTTTTACCTTTGTTATTTAATTTGGATTTTCTGTTTCTATATCATTTATATTTTATGTAAAGCTGTAAGGGCTTTCATCCTAAAAGAATTATTAGAATTAGAATATATATTTTATATTATTTAACCTATAAACATATTTTCTGGTGTAGGATTTAGAATCATATCATTTTGAGCTGAAAGGACTAGTCATCTAATCCAGACCCACTTATTACATTGATCTAAGTCTGAAAAGCAGAGAGGTCTGCCTAAAATCAGTTAATTATGAGACTGATAGATACCAGTTTCCCAAACTCCCCCCACATTTCTCTTTCTAGGCCCCAATGTCACTGCATGCTTACCTGAAACATGGCCTGGAACAAAATTAGTAACTGCTATAGTTTGCATCTAAAATGTCCCTCAAAGGTCCATGTGTTAAAAGGTGAAGTCCCCAGCCCATCACTCTATTAGGAGATGATGGAACATTTAAGGCGGCACTGGTGGCTCACACCTGTAATCCTAGCTACTTGGGAGGCTTAAGATCAGGAGGATCACAGATTGAGGTCAGCACAGGGACCACCACACCCAGCCTAAAAAATACTTTTAATAAGGAAAGCTTGGGCTGGGGTGTAGCCCAGGGGTAGAGTGCTTGACTATCATGCAGAAACCCCTGGGTTCAATCCCTATTATTGCAAAAAAATAGTGTTACCATTTAAAAAGAAAAAAAATCTTTAGGTAGTAAGAGTCAGAAATAATGCACTGTAGTATAAAACATGCAATGATGTAATTATTGACATAACTCAGCAAGAGTGACTAGTGTGGATTCAAAGAATAGTCAGAAAAGAAGCTATGCCAGAAAACTCGACACAGGTGGCTCGCACCTGTAATCCTAGCTACTTGGGAGACAGATCAGGAGTATTGCAGTCGAGGCCAGCCCAAGCAAAAAGTTCCTAAGACCCTATCTCAACCAGTAGCTGGGTGCAATGGTGCGTACCTGTCATCCCAAGCTATGGAGGAGATTGAGATCAGGAGAATCGTGGTTCCAGGCCAGCTGGGGCAAAGAAATTTGCAAGACTCCATCTCAATGGAGAAAGTTGGGCGTGGTGTCATGCACCGATCATCCAGTGATAGGAAGCTTAAAGTAGGCTGACTTGGGCAAAAAGCAAGACCCTATCTCCAAAATAAGAGCAAAAAGGGTGGGAGGCATGGCTCAAGCAGTAGAGCATGAAGCCCTGAGTTCAAATCCCAGTACTGCTGAAAATTTTTTTAAAAGGCGAGAAAGGTGTACAAGACATGGGAGTTTGGGAAGTAGACAAAACAGCATGGGCATTCCAGGCAAAGAGACCAGCTTGTGCCAGATAAACAGAATAAAGGCAGTTGGGAAAGGATGTGACATTAAAGGAAATCAAAGCAGTCCACTTTCAGAAAAGTACAAAAAAGCCAGGGCCCAGAAATAAGACAGGGGAAGAGGGCAAATATCATCAGAAAATGTCTTGCAACCCAACAGTCCTTTCTCATGGGTTTCTTTTCTGGTGTTTTATTTCAGTAAGTCTCTTGCTCTGTAAGGGCATGGTGGCCAGGCTCTAAGGTGGCCCTCAGTGTTCCCTCCCTGCCTTCTGCTATTCACATGCTTCTGTAATTTCCTGTCTTCCCACACTGCACCAGTATTGGTCTGGACTGTGTACTTAAGATGCTGCAAAAGTGATGGCTTGCACTCTGTTGGGAGATATGGTGAAAAGAAGCCTAATGCAAAAAGGGGTGGCCAACTGGCTCAAGTGAGAGTGCCTGCCTAGCAAGAAGCCAAATTCAACCAGTACTGCCAAAATAAAAGGGGAAAAGGGAATATAGAAAATGTCTATACCTTCTATCACTAAAGTTTGCTGAAAACCCAAAATTTCTCTTAAAAACAACTTTTATAAAGAGGGAAGGATAGTATGTCATTTCCAAAATTAGGTTTTGTATAAAAGACCCTTGCTTTAATCTTGGATGCTTGTCTCTCTTCCTTTTGCTACCAGTATTTGGGATGTTCCATGTGTTCCTTGGTTCTTGGGTACAATGCTTAAGGTTAGGATGCTGCCCAGGTGTGGAAAAAAAAAAAAAAAACATGAAAAGTAAGAAGATAGTAGAGTGATTTATTAGGAAAGCTAATCAGGGATAGTACACATGGAAGGGTGAGGCAGATAGGTAAGGACCTACTGCTTGGAAACTGTCAGGGCTTAGGGTTTTATTCAATAGGGTGGATTAACCAGGTGCTGTGAAACAGGCCCTCCTCTGTGGCTTTCCCTAAATGGTTTGATGACTGCATAGTGGCTACCCAAATGTGGAAAGGCATAAACCTGCACTTTTGAAAGGCTGTACATTTGATTCTCTTTGCCTTTCAACCTTGACATGGTGAGATAAATGCCATTATCTTAATCACTGGTCCAGAGTGTGGGCCATCTAGGGTGTTTCCTCATTCCTGCTCATGTCTACCTAGCTGCCTGTGCTAACACTTTCACACTCTGAGAGAAGCAAATACATGAAAGTAGAAAATAACAAATCCATGAACCTTCATGTACTTACCATCCAGCTTCAAAAACTGCCAACATTTTATCATCTATTTCCTCTTACTGTTCTCCCAATCACCACTGCAGGATTTTAAAGCAAATCCCAGTCATCATGTTTCACCTGCACTTAAATATTTATCAGAGAAGGTCTATCTACAATAACATCAAGCTGATATAATTAACAATTCCTTTATATCATCTAACACCCAGCCAATATTAAAATTTCCCTGATTTCCATTTTATTTGATGTTCACTATTGTACTTCATTTCTTTTTGCTCATTTAGTCTAACTTCATTTTTGTTAGGGAATTTTTGTTTTTTAAAGTTTTTTAAATTATATTATTGTTGTACTGGGGGTACATTGTGACATTTACAAAAGTTCTTAGAATATATCACAGTTGAATTCACCCCATCCACTATTCTTTATTCGCCCACCCCCCCCCAATTCCTGGAATAGTTTCAACAGGTCTCATTTTTCCATTTACATGTGCAAGTACATAATACTTCCTACCAACTACCATATTCACCCTCCTACACCCTCCCCTATACCGCGCCCCCGCCCCGGTACCAATCCCCAGACAGGACGTGTTTTGCCTTCCTCTTCTCCATTTTTGGGGTTTTTGTTTTTGTTTTAATTTTTATTTTATTCATATGTACATACAATGTCTGGGTCATTTCTCCCCCCCTTCCCCCCCGCTCTCTCCCTTACCCCCCTTACCCCTCAATACCCAGCAGAAACTATTTTGTCCTTATTTCTAATTTTGTTGTAGAGAGAGTATAAGCAATAATAGGAAGGAACAAGGGGTTTTGCTGGTTGAGATAAGGATAGCTATACAGGGAGTTGACTCACATTAATTTCCTGTGCGTGTGTGTTACCTTCTAGGTTAATTCTTTTTGATCTAACCTTTTCTCTAGTTCCTGGTCCCCTTTTCCTATTGGCCTCAGTTGCTTTTAAGGTATCTGCTTTAGTTTCTCTGCGTTAAGGGCAACAAATGCTAGCTAATTTTTTAGGTGTCTTACCTATCCTTACCCCTCCCTTGTGTGCTCTCGCTTTTATCATGTGCTCAAAGTCCAATCCCATTGTTGTGTGTGGACACTTATGAGGGAGAACATATGATTTTTGGTCTTTTGGGCCAGGCTAACCTCACTCAGAATGATGTTCTCCAATTCTATCCATTTACCAGTGAATGATAACATTTCATTCTTCTTCATGGCTGCATAAAATTCCATTGTGTATAAATACCACATTTTCTTGATCCATTCGTCAGTAGTGGGGCATCTTGGCTGTTTCCATACTTGGCTATTGTGAATAGTGCTGCAATAAACATGGGTGTGCAGGTGCCTCTGGAGTAACCTGTGTCACAGTCTATTGCTGGATCATATGGTAGATCAGTGTCCATTTTTGAAAAAAATGGGAGACATTTTTTTCAGTTGGAAATTCTTATCTTTTTTATTAGCATACATTACAATTGAACAAAGTAAGGGATTTCATTGTGGTATTTCCATGCATGTATATAACACACTCTAATCATGTTCAGCTCCTGTATTGTTCTTTCTAGTCTTCCCTTATTTCTCCCTTTTCCCATTCCCATCCAACTACCCAGCAGTCCCCATTTTACTTTCATTTTGTTTTCATGAGAAAAAATGTGTGATACTTACCTTTGTGGGACTGGCTTATTTCAGTTTAGTCATAGTTTAGTCTTTATTCTATTTGCATCTGGTGAAAAAAAGACTCAATACAGTCCCACTAAGATTAGGAACAAGATAAAAATGTACATTCTCAGCACTTCAATTGGCACTGACATTCTAACATTCTAACCAAGGCAATCTGGCAAGACAAAGAAAAGACTGAAAACTGAGAAGTAAAACTATCTTTATTTACAGATGATGTGAATCTTGTTTTTGAGATGGAGTCCCACTGCATTCTCCAGCTAGTCTCCAACTCAGGAACTCAAATAATCCTCACACCTCAACCATCTGAGTACTGGGAGTATATACCAACCCACCTGTTTGGCAGGAATCTTTTTTTTTTTTTTGGTGGAAGTAGGGTTTGAACTCAGAGCTTTTTGCTTGCAAAGCAGGCACTGTACCTCTTTAGCCACACCTCCAGTTCATTCTCCTCCATTATTTTGGAGACGGGATCTTACAAACTATTCGCCTGGGCTGGCTTCGTACCTCGATCCTCCTGATCTCTGCCTACTGAGCAGCTGGGAGTACAGCATGAACCTGTGTAGATCTGTTGCAGTAGTCCGTGTCAGTTGCTGTGCCAGAGCCACACTGTCTTGATAACCGAAGCATTGTAGTATGTGTGTCTGGCACTGGACTTGAACTCAGGGCCTTGTGCTTAGTAGGCAGACACTGCCACTGGAGTCACACTCCATCCCTTTTTGCTTTAGTTATTTTTCAGATAGGGCCTTGCATTTATGCATGGACTGGTCTGACATCCTGCATAACTGGGATTACAGGCCCATGACACCACATCTTGCTTATTGGTTGAGATGGGGTCTCACTAACTTTTGTCCAGGCTGGCCTCAAACTGTGATTCTCCTTCTGAGTAGCTGGGATTATAGACATGATTTATCATGCTCAGCCTATAGTGAATTTTGAAATCAGGAAGTCTTTCAACTTCATCTTTTTTTCAACAATATTTTGGCCCTCTGGGTCTTTTACATTTCCACAGGAATTTTAGGATCAGTTTGTCAATCTCTGCAAAAGAGCTAGCTGGAATTTTGTTAACGTTGTATTAAATCTATAGATCAATCTGGAGAGTACTGTCATTATGATATTGCCTTCCAATCTATGAATATGAGTGGTCTTTAAGTTTTAAATCTTTTATTTAAATTTATTTAAATCTTTAAGTTTTTTAACAAGGTTTCATGGTGTTTCATATACAAGTACTGCATTTTTTGGTTAAATTTATTCCTATTTTATTTGTTTTAATGATATTGAGAATGGAATTTTCTTAATTTTATAGTAGTTTTTCACTAAATTCCTTAGGATTTTCTAGATACAAGATTTCTGTCATGCTGGGCACCAGTGGCTTATGCTTGTAATCCTACCTACTCAGGAGGCAGAGATCAGGAAGACTGAGGTTCAAAGCCAGCCCAGGCAAATAGTTCTTAAAACCCTGTCTCAAAAAGACCAAACGCAAAAAATGACTGGGAGAGTGGCTCAAGTAGTAGAGTGCCTGCCTGGCAAGCATGAGGCCTTGAGTTCAAACCCCAGCACCAAAATAAATAAATAAATTTTTTTTTAAATAAGGTAGCAAAATAACAATACCAATATTATTAATACAAGATAACTGAATGTGATTTAAGACTTCTTTGCTGCTCTTTCTGTCCTAGGAAAGAGCCCACTAAGATGTACAATCAAACTACCAGTATTTAGAGCCAGACATGGTGGCATATCCCTGTAATTCCAACTACTTGGGAAGCAGAGATAGAAGAATCGTGGTTCAAGGCCAGTCCAGGAAAAAAGTTAGCAAGGCCCATTTTAAAAAAACAAGCCGGGAGAGGTGGCTCACACTTGTAATGCCAGCTACTCAGGAAAAGCAGGTAAGAAGGATTGCAGTCTTAGGCCAGCCCAGGATAAAGCACAGGACTCTTTCTGAAAAACAAACTTAAGCAAAAAAGACTGGGGACTGGCTCAAGCGGTAGAGTGCTTGCCTAGCAAATGCCAGATCAAACCCCAGTACTGCCAAAAATATATATATATATTAATAAAAATACTAAAAACAATTCTCTGTGTGATTGTGCCATGAACTTAACATAGTTACTTGTTTGTTTTCAATTTTTAAGTATTGCTTTGTTTCTTTTTGACCTAACATTGTTTTTAGTTACATAAAACATTCACATAGCTCCAAACTACAATGAATATTCAGGCAAGCCTTAATTTCCACTCCATTGAGGGGGTGGGGGGTAAGGGGGAGGATGGGGGGAAGGGGGGAGAAATGACCCAAACATTGTATGCACATATGAATAAGAGAAAAAAAATAAAATATAAAATTTTAGTTTATGATACATTTTAAAAAAAAAAGTTAGTGGTTCAATAAGGTGGACGTGGTACATTCAACTGTGATGCCAGGGCCATATGCAGGACGCCACAGGTTGAAGAATTACAGACTGAGGCCAGCCCCAGGCAAAAATGTGAAACCCTACCTGAAAAATAACTAAGGCAATTAAGGGCTGGGGGTTGTGGATGAAGTGGTCAAGCACTTGCCTAACAAGAACAAGGTCTTGAGTTTAACCCCAGTACCACTCTTCCCAAAAAAGATGTCATTAAGACACTGAGGAATATACTGCTTCATTTTAAAACTGAATATTTAATTCAACATTGCAATAAAAATTGAACAGTATTAAAAACAAACATTATCAGTGGCTAAAAAAAATGTGTATTAATCTTTATTTTCCCTTTGAGGGGATTTTAATGGCCAATTCTCTACAGCAAAACAATGCTAGGAAAATATCTCACAAAGACAAAAATTCCTGAGCCCAAGTTCAAAATTGCTTAAAAAGGATTAGCAGTTTTAAAAGCCTACACCTGAAATACAAAATATTAGATACATTTATTTGAATTCTAAAAGTTTGATACTGAACATTATATACTTTTTAAAAAGATAACCAACAAATTAGCAACTCAGCATTTTCTAGGGATTAGCATCTTACAGCACCATGACTACTGCATAAGCACATGGCTGTGGCTCACCCACTACCACATCCCTTGTTCTTCCAAATCCTTCTTGGCTTCCATCTGGACAACTCCAAAGGCACTGTGAGGAAAACAGATGCAAAGAGATAGATACCCATTTTTTTTTGCAGTCCCTCTCAGCACGACAACTAAGCAAATAATCAATGAGGAAAGGGCATATAATCCATAGTTTTACACAAAGCCTCACTCAATTTGAAAAATTGCCAGTTCTGTCAAATATGCCAACACACCAATAAGGTATTTATGACACAGAATCTGTAAAAACAAAAAAGAAAAAAAAAGATAAGAAATTTAAAACTAGAGTAGTATTACAGTAAGAAAGCAGTTTGATCTTTGAATGAACAATGTTACATTGGTCTAATTTCTGGATTTAGCTCATTAGGTTTCCCACATTCATTTACTCTATATTTCCTACTGTTTTTCTCTACCCCCCAACCCCAGGTGCTGGGGATGGAACCAGGGCCTCCTGCATGCTAGACTCTACCATTGAGCTACATCACCAGTAAACCCTGCCCCCCACACACACACCCTTTTTTTTTTTTTTAAGTTTTAGTAAGGATTTATTTTAGTGTAACAGGATAAAGTAAAGACAAGGAGGGAGGGTGGAAAAAAAGAGAAACATTCATGAAGGAAATGGGAGCAAAGACCCCCTTTTTTTTGCTTTTTTAGTGCTAATCTCTTCTCATCAAAATTATATTCCAGCCTACTATTGCATTATGACCTCCAGTTTGAAAGTATGAGAGTACTCTTGGAACCTAAAACACAAAAGTTCAGATCTTGACTCTTCTTACTACACTATCTTGCCTATGTCACAAACCTATCTTGGCCTCAGTTTCATTGTTTTAAAATACAATGTGGATTAAAAAAATACCTAACTACAGGGTTGTTCTAAAGACTAGAATTAAGGTCTGCTAGGCATAAATGCTGCATGTTCCCACTCATTTTTGGAAGCTAAAAGAGCTGATCTTACAGAAAAGAATAGTGGTAACCAGCAGCTAGGAAGAAAAGGGGATAGAGAGAGGTTAGCTAACGGACACCAAAACACAGTCAGATAGGAGGAATTAGTTTTAATGTTCTATAACACAGTAGGGTGACTATGGTCTGCAACAATTTACTATGTATTTCAAAATTACTAGAAGAGTTTGTAGATTCCAAAACATAGAAAGGATAAATGTTTGATGAGATAGAAATGCTATTACTGTGATTCAATTATTATACACTGTACAGATGTATCAAATTATCATACAGGGCCAAACAAATATATACCAGTAGGGCTGGTAGTATAGCTCAGTGGTACAGTGTTGGCCTAGCATGAATAAGGCCCTGGGTTTGATCCCTGGCACTGCAAAAATAAAGTATATATATTATGTGTCAATTTAAAAAAAAATAAAAAGAAGAAAAGAATTAAGGTCAGTGATGAAACCACAGGAAATATTCACTGCTGTATATTGTGGCTACGTATTTATTCTAGGAGCCAACTCTGTTTATTTCTAATACTTCTTTGCTAAGTACTTTATAGAATAAAATAATGTCTATTTCTTCCCCAATGGGGACCCAAAAACCTAGAATACAAAGATGACAACTTATTCTGTGTCTCTGGCTATTATTTGCTTATCTCACACATAAAATCCTCTGTTACTTCCATAATTATTTCAAAATTTGACAAGAAACAATTCCAAAAGTTTCATAGTTACTATAGGATAATAATTCATATTATTACCCAAGTCTATAGCATAAAACATATGGAAATATCCTCCCATTATAAAGGTGCATCTAGATAGCTAAAGATTTTACAAGTCATTTATAAAGTATAGAATAAAGTCTCTTGCTGGGTCCTGGTGGCTCACACTGGTAATCCTAGCTACTCTCAAAGCAGAGATCAGGAGGACTGAAGTTCAAAGCTAGCCCTGGGCAAATAGCTTATGAGACCCTATCTCAAAAAAACCTATCACAAAAAAAAGGCTGGCAGAGTAACTCAAGCAGTAAGAGTATGTGCCTAGCAAGCATAAGGCCCTGAGTTCAAACCCCAGTGCTGCCATAAATTAATTAATTTTTTAAAAAAACAATAAAAGTCTCTCTACGGTCATGAATTGCATACATTTGAATGTGTTTCTTCAATGTGAAGAATATAACTATAATCATCATACATCTTAAAAACCTGGCAATAACTAATTAGATTTGTTCAAACTAACCTTTACTTTTCCATCAGTATGTGCTGAAGCTACAGATGTTGAAACACGAACTAATCTTGTAGCTGATAAATGAATTTTGAAATGCCTATGGAAATGTGAATAAAGGCAGTCCATAAATAAGTCAACTTCCTCCTGGGTAACCTCCCCAGGTGTTTTGTGGACGCTGTCCCACAAAGCTTTTGCATCCTCTGGATGTATTGCATAAGAAATGTCCAGACTTTGAGGACTACATGGTACAGACCAAAGAAATTCAGTAGCCATATAATGGTCCATTTTGCATGCAGTCCACATGGCAGCCATCCAGGAAAGATTAAATGCGTTGATTGCTAAAGGACTGAAATAACAGTCAAAGGTTTTCTGAAACCAAGTTCCAATTATGGCAGTATTAGATTCTGCTCCATTTGCAAGGAATAATGGTAGGCAGGTGAAGTCTTCTGTGGTAGTCTCCAGAAGACTATCTCCAAATGCACAGCAGAACCAACCAGTCCACAACACTTTATCTTCTCTGTTCTCAGGTGGCATCTGAGACTTTGACAGAATCTACAAAGGAAAGTAAAACAGGCTCATTAAGTTCACAAGAACGTCCACTCTTAAATTATGTATTCTCAAAAATAATTAGCATATTAAAAATAAGATCTGACTTATTACTTGCCCCCCCACCAAAAAAAAAAAAAAACACGAAGGGAATAGTTTTCTTAATTGTTATTAGGGTTTTTAAATAATTAAACAATTGTCTTTTAGCCCAATGGTTTTATATGGGAGAGTCATGGCATATGGCAAGATCTCAGAGCAACCAAAATACAAAATGTGAGGTGTCTATTTGGCATAATCAGGCATAGTATTCTAAAAAAAATCTCAACTTTAGAAGGGACTATAAAAGGTCCCCAAATCCAACATGCTTAAATTATCCCATTGAGGAAGATTTCAAAATTTCCTAGGGCAACTCTTTCTATGTTCTTTCATGTTAGGACCTATAGTGCCCACCCAATGATCTCTTTCTCCCTTATAGGCATGTAAAGTAAATCAAATCTAATTCCTCTTCTACAGAAAAAGCCCTTCAAATATTTGATGGTCCCTATCAGTGTGTTCAACATCTGCCATTTCTTCAATCATTCCTCTTATGGCATTCACAATCTCTGTATCCTGGTCACTCTTCTCTGAAGTTCTTATGTATGGGAGTTATCTGTAAGTACATATGATTACTTCAAAAAGGTCTGATTATAGGAGACTGGGGACCTAGTTCATAGGAAAACCATGCCTAGCATGCACAAGGCTCTGGGCTGGATCCCCAGCAACACACACACACACACACACACACACACACACACACACACACACACATGGCTGGATCCCCAGCAACACACACACACACACACACACACACACACACACACATGGGCTGGATCCCCAGCAACACACACACACACACACACACACACACACACACACACACACACACACACACACACACACACGGTCTATTAAACTACCATCACACTTCAATCTCCATTATACTCCTGCTAATGTAATCTCAGATTGCAGTTTTCTGGTATTATCTGTCAGCTTTATAAAAATTAGCCCTACATACTCATTTTTGCTGTTACAGGTAAATCTCCCTCAACTTACACTGAGGCAGTAAACTTACCTCTACTAAAATTTTGTCCCACTGTACCAATCTTCATTATATTCTGGCTGACTGACTAACCCTTCAAACTACATTGTAAATTACATGATAAACATAACTTCAAGTTAGTCAGAATTTTTGTTAAAGTATTGCAAAGCAGATTAAAATTACAGTCTCATTATATCCCTTTAGAGATGTTTATTTAAAGTTTCTTTTACCATTTCTCCTTTTTATTCAAGAGATTATGAAAGAGTCTCATATACCACATACACCATGGTTTATCACATGTTTATGGCCTAACAGCCCCATAAGCCTATCAAGAAATGAGATTTAACTTGAAAACTATTAGTACATTATACCAGGAATTCAAGAGATCATTTCTAATCCTCACAAGAACATTTGCTTGACTGATGACACGAAGTCACAAAACTTCTCTGACATCGGCTCTTTACCTGACAAAGACTGTTATCTAGCCAGTATCTATTTTCCTTTCTGCAATAAAACAATTCCTTTACTTGGAGTGGCAAAGTACCCACTCAAAAAGAAAATTTTCCCAGTGTCCTTTCCATCTAGTATGTAAACAGAAGTTGCTGGATCTCAGCAAGATTTTCTCTGTTCTCAGGTACCCTATTTGTCCTTCCTATTTTCTTACTCCTTGCCTGAAACTTTAACAGAATGTTTACAGCCCCAGGAGTCATCTTAGACTATAAGGTGACTTTAGAATGGAAAACAACAGAGATGACAGACAAGAAAGACAAAGGAACCTAGATTGCTAATGTGTTCACCATGCCTCATACTAGCCTTAGACAATCTATCCCCATAAACTTTTTTTTTTTTTCTGTAAGACAAATAAACTTCTGTTGGTATACTGTTATTTAGGCCTTCTGCTAGGTACAGATGAACATAATACTAGAACATCTTGAGATCTTTGCCAATACCACAATCAATACCATGGGTCAGCAAACGTTTTTCTGTAAAGAGCCACATAGTAAATATTTTAAGCTTTGCAGGCCACATGATCTCTGTCACAAGTATTTAACTCTCCTGTTGTGGCCCAGAATTAGCCAAAGACAATACATAAGCAAATAAAAGAGGTTATGTCCAAATAAAATTTTATTTACAAAAACAAAGAACAGGTGAGATTTAGCCTACAGACCGTACTTTTCTGACCTCTAATTTATACAAACAAACAAATCTGGTCTTCTCAACTCCTTGAGAATTTAATTTCTTTAACTCAGAAGAAACAATTTTGTTATTATAAATACTAAAATAAGTCTGGCTTCTTAATTGATCAAACTATGGTCTTATTAATTTTATATATTACTTTTAGGAAAGCATAAGAGTATCATGGCATGATGTATCACAGATATGTATCAATGATAAGTTTCATATATTTTTACTTAAATTATACTTCTAGAAATTAAATCCTAGTAAAAACCATAGAATTATACAGCTATACCTACAAAAATGTAGAATTCCAAATAAAAGACAAAAATGTAGAATTCCTAATCACATGAGTAATTATTTACAATACTGACTACCAAAAATGCCAAAATGCAAAAGTATGGGCAATATGATCCCAATTTTAAGACTATATGGATTCAGATAACAAAATGGATGCTTACCAAAATAATTTTTTAACTTTCTTCATATTTTTACATATTTTCTAAAATCAAAATAATTTTACACACACACATTTACTACATATGTAGAAAAATTTTTTTTTCAAATTGGCCATATTTGTTTATTATAATTTGGTTAAATAAGACATAAATTGGTCAAAGTCACAAACTTAGGAATTTTAAAAGGCAGTAAGATAATAGCATAATTTTCATTCCAAACTAAGGAAATACGGATTCTTTTACTCTAGGAAGCAAGTATTGCTCACATACTATACCTGCACAAGAACTGCTTCAGAGTCCCTCTGTGTCCCTTTCAGTCCTAGGAGAGTAGAAAAAACAACTTTGATGTTGAGATCTTCTCCCACTTCCACAGCAAGTCCTTTGTGCTTTTCAGCAGCAATAAATGCACTCAGAAGTCTAGAATACTCTCTGAGATTAGCATATGAGAATTTATACAAGGGAGTTAAACTATATAAAGTCCATTGTTTATGCAGAAGGAATGCAACTTTATGAGGATCGACATCTTCCTAAAAAAACAAAAACAAAAGAAGTTTTAAGAACTAAAAATAACAGTAAGAATAGCATTTAAAGCATCTATACATTACTATATATCTATTACTGGGTACTCGATCTTGCACTCAAAGTCAAATTCAAATGGAGTCTGCAGGGCTTTTTGCAGAGCCTTGAACAGGCCTTTGCACTTACTCTGCCTTTGCTTTTGGAATGCTCTTACCCTGGGAGCTCACATAACATGCTCCTTCACTTCATTCAGGGTTATATTCAAATGTGGCCAAGAGGCCACCCCATATAAAGTAGAACCTGTACCCATTCCAACTTGATCATTCTGTATTGCTTCACCCTGCTCATAGTACTTACTACTCCCTGACATTATATATTCATCTGATTTTTATTGTCTGTCTCTCCTACTAAAGTATGAGCTTGATGAGGGCAGAGATATTTTTATATTTTATTCACTATAAAACCTGGAATAATATGATTTATAACAGCATTTCAATAAATATTTAGTGGATGAACATTCTACCTTTGGAAACTTCAAATTACAGATTTTGAAAATAGCAACTATTTCTGAGGATCAAATTTGATTTGTTTTAAGTAATTAAAAAAAACTGCTTCGCAGCAAATCAACTCTGACACAGGGCCTAATTTAGTACATTAAACAAAAAGACACTTGAGGGCTCAAGTGGTAGTACACCTAGCACTACCAAACCCCAGCACTGCCAAAAACAAATAAATAAATACATAGATAAACAAATAAAAATTCTTGGAAGTATCTTTTTTTAATTATGCTATATTACAACCATAAGTAGCAATGCAAACAAAAACAGTATTGATATAGGCCCATGGCGTTATTGAAAGTCTTCACAAATGTTCTCAATTGGCTAATAGTTTCCTCCTAAACTGAAGTTTCCTAAAGAGTCCATGTTTTCTGATATAGCCTCACAGTTCCAAAAACTTTTGGAACTTTCTCTACAGTTGTCTACTTGTGAAAGATGTTAATTCTGGCTAGAGTACTCACTGAAACAGTTACATACTTTTTCTTTATTACTATCAAAATATATGGCAAACTATTATAAAGATAAGGAAGCAGTGAATTTGGACATTTCAACCTTTAATATATATAAAATCTGTTTTCTGATTTAAAACTATAATTTTCATTACCAGCACTGGTAATTTTTCTTTAAGAAGGTTATCAAGGTGAAACAAAAATTGTCTCCTATTCCAATAGGTATGAGGTATACAACATTGACAAGAGAAAAAAGTTACCCTGACGTACCCAAGGACACAGAAGCACTGTGCAGTCTTCTAGTCAAGAAGACGTAACTTTAATCATTGGGAAACATCAGATAAATCCAAAATGAGGACTATTCTATTTAAAAAGAGGAGAGTAGGAGACTGTATTCTTAAAAAATGTCAGTGTCATAAAAGACCAGGAAATACTATGGAAATTGTCCAAATTAAAGGAGATTAAAAGGTATAAAAGAGGGGCTGGCAGAATGGCTCAAGTGGTAGAGCACCTGCCTAGCAAGTGTGAGACCCTGAGTTCAAACTCCAGTAAAAAATTTTTTAAGAAAAGGGACTGGAGTATCATACTGTATCAGAAAGACTTTATTTGGCCAGGCACCATGGCTCACGCCTGTAATCGTAGCTATTCAGGAGGCAAAAATCAAGAGGATCCTAGTTCAAAGCCAGCCCCTGGAAAATAGTTTGTGAGACCCTATCTCAAAAAACCCATTACAAAAAAAAGGGCTGGCTGGTGAAGTGGCTCAAGCAGTAAGAGCGCCTGCCTATAAGCATGAGGCCCTGAGTTCAAACTCCAGGGTTGCCAAAAAAACCTATGGTGCTGATAGTATGAAATTGTTTAACTATTTCTCGTTTATCTTATTAGCTGAAGGGCAGAGAAGGCACCAAAAATACTACAAATAGTAACAAAAATTGAAGTATTCTGTTCAGATAGTCTTGTTGACTAACTAAAAGGGGCAAGAAGAATACCTGCAATTGTGAACACTGGAGAATTTTCCTTCGAGATGGGGTTGGGGCAAATGAAGTTTGCTTCCTGACTGATTCCAGTCACTTCTGCTGAGGGGTGGTACCTATAAAGTAATCTTTAAGACTTGAGGAGAACCTGTGTCTAGGAGTTGATTCTGGTGACTCATAAGAATCCATGGTCTACATTAAAAAACAAACAAGCAAACAAAAAAAAACAGAATTCTAAACACCTGGGCTGGAGGCACATTTCAAGTAGTAGAGCACCCACGTACAAGGCCCTGAATTCAAAGCCCAGTACTGCCAAAAACAAAAACAGAATTCTAAACATCTAAAAGTTAAGTCATGGTCACAGTCCTAGATTATTCTCCTGACAAAAGAGGAATTCTTTCTTTCTTTCCCCAGCCCCTCACCTTTTCTACAAAGTCCTTTATTTCTCAACAGCCACAGCTCACTTTTACAAAGCCCTTACAAGTATCTCAAGCATAGTATTTTCAAAATCAAATTCAATTCCTTCCTTCCCTCTTCCATTCTAAAGCTAGCTACTCCATTTTTTAAATTCCTGTCAATTTTCTAAGTTAATTAAATGCATTTATGTAGCCTTCTACCTTCATTTTTTAACATAGATTAAGTGCATTCTATTGAGTTCTTCATTCAACAGCTTTTATTATCCATTCCCAAAGTTACTTCCTTAGTAATGTTTAAGTATTATTTTAAATTTCAATATGGTGAACTAGGACACCCTTTATATCTTGCACAAATTCAATATACAGTCCTCAAAGCTCAGCCAATGTCTAAATCAAGATCATGTACCATACTATTTTTATTCTTCTTTTGCATTCTAATCCTAGGTTTACTCAACACAATTCTTTCACTCTATACAACAAAGTATAAACACATTACTTAAAATGTGCCAGTTATAAAATTCAACAGAAACTTTAAAGCCAGGCATGGTGGTGCATACCTATAATCCCAGCACACAGGAGGCTGAGGCAGGAAGACTGAATTTGATGCCAGCATGGGCTACAAGGCAACAAACAAACAAAAAAAAAATCAGAAACTTTATAGTTCTAACTATACAATAAAAACCAAAAAAAAAAAAAAAAGCAACATACATTTTGTCAAGATAACCTGCAAGACCACCATGAGTGGCAGACACAACAGGGATTCATGATGACTCTGCAGAGCTGGCTCTCATCTAGCTCACCACTTCAGACAGTGAGGGAGATGGGGGGAGGGGGTGGTGAATACCTTGAAATTCAGAACCATTTACAGCAACCAACATGGTGGGAGCATGGCTCTCTTCTGGGATGTTGGGCCACTAGACTGGTCCAGGGTCATCTGTGGAAAGGAAAAAGCAGGCTCCCAAATGTGGCTGCACTGCCTGCTAGAGCACTATTCGTCCTTGCTAGTTTTGCCACTCAACTGACTCTATCAAAAACCAGAAAAGGTGAGCCAAAAAAACTGAAGGACATCTTGTTGTTGTTGTGCTAGCAACACTTCTGGTACCCAGAACTTGGCCTGCAGAGGAAATTTCTCAGTTGCTGCCTTCCAAGCTTGGCTGAAAAAGGGATTTTCTTTTCCACCAATCTTCATTCAGCTAGAAACTGAGCTGAATGGGATATAATTTACAGTAGGGTGGGCTAATCTTTAGTGGATGTGCTTATCAAGAGGAGCTGGAGTGGCTCCTGTGGTAACAATGGATTAAAGAATATGATCAAGAAAAAAAGAGAAAAAAAAAAAAAGAACAAATCAGCAGGCACATGGGGGACTTGCACTTCAGGAAACATGACCTCTTCCTCATCCCACAGAGTGGCACGCACACCCTCCTGGGAGGGCTGAATCTCCTGGATGGGGAAGTGTTGCCTAGGCCAGGGACCAGCACAGTGTAGCCATGACCTCCCATTATCAATTTCCCCTCCATAGGCTTCAGCAGTCTCCCAGTTTCATCTGGATTCTCCAATACATCTCACATATCTAGCCTTTGCGGAGACTAAGAATGTATCCTTTTAATAGACACACAGATATAAAATTTTTCTATGTTGTGATCGTTGGTCATGTTCTTGGTAAGTCTCCCAATGTACATTTAAATGGGTTTAGGGTAATGGCTGTGTCTTTTTCTCTCCTTTTCATCATTTTTAGGTGGTTTGGATTAAGAAAAGGAGCACTACCTCAGAATGATACAGAGAGCCAGAGGGAGGAATTGCTAGAACTAAAGTGGGATGTGCTAGAACTTCTGAATGCCTGGATGCTAGGGATAAGTTGAAGGTGCTACTCAAGTTCATCCTGGGGCTGGAGTCTGAGCCGAAAGTCAAGCAGGACCAAGGCCTGGTGCTGCTGCTACCACTGGAAGAGCTGCACCTCTTGTGAGTTTTACCCTTGTGGCAATCCTCAGTCCATTCGTTGGTGGCCCCTTTATCTTTAGCAACATCTTTTCAGTCCTTGTATTTGGTAGAAAATTTTGCTAGCCTTTTTATGATTTTTGACTCCTAGAAAGCTAATGTTTTTGTTCAAAGCAGCAATGACAGTCCTCATTTATCAAAACCCTCACTTCTAATTCAATTCCAAGGGAAAAAAATCCCTAATCAACTGCAATTTACACCAAAGAGCAGCATCTTCCTGATGCCATCACCTCCTCCCACTTTCCTCAGCTACTGAATTACTACACAATTTAAATAGCAGCTACTTGGCTGGGCAGAGTGGTTCAAGCCTATAATCCCAGCCCTCTGGAGGCTAGGATCATAAATTCAAGGCTGGCCTGGACTACATGGTAAAACCTTGTCTCATAAATAAATACAGCAGCTACTCTAAAGCATTATCGCTTGAAATACACGTTGAGCTATCTAATTTAAAAAGTAATCTTAATCACTTCCATTTACACAGAATGTTTCTTTCCAGCTATTTAAGACAATATTGCTAAGCAACCATAATGTCCCAGACCCTCTTCTAAGCCCTTAACAAATATTGTCGCCTTTAATCTTCAAGCAACCCCATTAGTTTGGTTACTGTGCATCCAGTTGACAGGTAGTTAGACCAAAACCCTAATTCTTACCCATTTTGCAGGTTTCCCCTCCTCCACAGCTTACCAGTAGTTACAGAACTACCTCTCTCACCAACTCCTCTTTCCCTTATAGTTCATAACACACAATGAAAACTAGTCGCTCCTCTTGTGGTTAGTCCGTGAAGTCCGGGATCGTGACAGTCATTTTATTACCACCAGTCCCTAAACCCAACGGCCCCAACGCCAATGCTTAGCTGCGTGCTAAACCCAAGTATTGCAAAGATAATGGTGACACAACGAGGCGAAGCACAAAGTTCATAACAAGACCTGGACCCAGTGCAAAGCATCTCACCAATAAAATGCCGTTATGACACTGTCGCCCGTTCCGGATTTGCCAATCATTCTTCAAACCCGGCTCCAAAACTGTCGAGACTGAAATTCCCTAAGTGGATTTAAAAAAAAAAAAAAAAAACCGCCAAAATGACAGCTATAAGAAAAGCTGGAGTAAACCCGGGCCCTCCCGAATTCCCTCTCGCCCCACAAGTGAGTGTACTAGGGACACAATTACACCGGCTAGGAGACCCTGTTCCCTCAGAACGGGCGAGGCCCGCGACTCCGTGGTGGGAAGGACATTTCCGCTTACCTAACGGCTCTGCGATCCTCACTTCTGAGGACGAGGCTTTTGCCCGCTTGGGATTAAGGCAAAGACAAAGCGTCCCAAACGCCCCCTCCACTACAGCTCTTCTGTCATCAAGGCCAGATCTGAAATACCTCGGCTGAGATAAGGCGGCAACTCGGCATTCAACGCCCTTCACAGTTTAAAATCGTTTCCCGACTCGCTCTGCGGCCCGACCCAGGAAGCCAGCCTCCATGACGCCCCGCCTATTGAATGTCAGTGAAGCAATTTAAGTTGCCATTTTAACTGAGGGCAAGGCCAAGTAACCATCGTTCTCGTCAACGTTCCGAATTGCGCAGTGTTGCTCTTTAGTTTTTCAAAGTGTGAAGCTTTCGCTCATAGTTCCGCCCGAAGTAAGCATGGCGGCAACGCCCTCCCTCTGATTGGCTGAATGCTTTTACCGTGGGCGCTCGCGGGGCTGTAAGAGGGACGATTGGATTACATCCGTGTTCTGTGCTTGTGAATTCGGGCCTAGGGGTGTTTTTGAATTTGCTTGCCTTTGTCTTTCTGAAAACCCGAGGTCGGCCGCCAGGTCTGGGAGACTTGAAGGAGACTGTTCCTCCTTGTTTTCGGGCTCTGCCTGTAGGAACTTTGGAGAAAGCGTGGATTGAAGGGAAGGGCGTGCGTCTGGACTGTCTTTGGGTCGCGCCTGGAATCCTTTCGTCACATGGGGGCCACAGTCTTGTTTAATACAAGTGCGAACCGATGCGATTAAAGGGAGAAAGGCCTTTCCCCTATGCACACACGCAGGAGCCTAAAGACCTTTTAGAAGTATTTAAACACTTGAATGTTCTGCAGAGGAGGGCTTAATTATTGAAGCTTGGGAACTAGAAATATTAAGGGACTTCGTGTCTTTTGGCCATTGACCGACACCAGCAGCGTGGGATCCGTGATTGTCTCTCGCCACCCTGGGGCATCGTCATGTATTTGCGTTCTTGGTTAAGTCGACTGTGCAGGGGGTTATCCAGCCCCGTCGGAAGGACCACACCGCCAGGCTGGGGTTCTCTCTCCAGAAATGTGGTGCTGAGTTCACACAGAAGAATTCCAGGTGAAAACAGCGAGGGACTTCGCCTATTCTCTACAGTTTTCTCCCAGTCTTAACTGGATAGCCCTATCTATAGTAAATCATTTACTCTTCACTGCTTACCATGCAGAGGGTTTTTCTCTTGATTTTTAAAAAAGACCACGAAAAGGTAACCACAAAGATAGGGTATTCTTCGTTTAGTTGATACTACTAATAGAAACCTAAAAAAAAAAAATCCATTCACACTTAATAGTTTCCCGGTGTGCAAGTGACAGTTAAGCACTAGATTTGTACTACAGTTAAATAGTTACTGCACCATAAAACTTTTATAATTCCTAATATCATATTTTATTTGGCAAAGAACTGTGTAATATTTAGAATTGGGCAATTAGTGTTTTAGGTCAACATAAGTACTAGCTGATGAAAAACATTTATTTCCTAACCCAGGGCAACACATTAAGACAGTTATTCGTTTGACCTGTGACACATTTGCAGGTAAATTTAATAGTGGATGAATTGCTCTGGCTTATTTTATGAATTTCATCCATTGACCCGAAATACCTAAGATACTGTGACTTGAGAATCTATAAGCAATCTACAAATAATATATTTTTAATCTTGCCTTCTTTTCCTTTTATAAGAACTCAGTACCTAAGATACTGTGACTTGAGAATCTATAAGCAATCTACAAATAATATATTTTTAATCTTGCCTTCTTTTCCTTTTATAAGAACTCAGTAGCTTTGTCGTCAGGACCAACACATGTGGAGAGCTGTGTTCTTCTCACTTAGGCCAAGAAGTCACCTTGTGTGGATGGATTCAGTACCGAAGGTAAATTGAGGCACACAACTTAAGAATGCATGGTGATTGTTTTTATTTTTTTCTAAATTTAAGTAAAGAAAAAACCTAAAAATATGAACAGTAAGTCCTCAAGGTCACAGCCTTGTTTTTTGTTGTTATTGTTGTACATCTCCATATTCAAATGTAATTTCCAGGACCTTTTGACAGTATATAGAGTTGTTAAATTAGTAGTTGTACTTTTCAGGAAATATTCAATTAAATCTTCTTTTTTTTTTTTAGGAAGAAAAAAGACTTTATATTGCTGTATTTCAAAAATGACCAGTCAGATGTTTTTGATAGGTTATCATTTTGGATTTTGCTATATGAAAAGTTTTCAAATTTAATATTTTCTTATGAGGACATATGCCAATGAACAATTTTTAATTTTAAATCTACTTCTTTATTAATAAGACATCTGTACAAGATTGTTAAACTATAAATAGCCAATAAAAAAATTGGAAAAGCAGTTTGGCCAGGCATAGTGGGGCACAGCTGTAGTCCCTGATATTTGGGAGGATAAAGCAGGAAGATGGCAAGTTCAAGACAACCCTGGGCAATGTAGCTAGACTCTGTCTCAAAATAAATAAACAACTTTAAAAAGCAAGTTTTTCCACTAATAAGCAACATAAAAATTGTAAGAATGTAGTTAACAAAAGTACATAATTACATGAGAAATTGAAGTTTTTGTTTGTTACCTATTGGTTTTGTCTGTTTAAATTTGGGACTCAGAGACTATCCTAAGATGTTCATTCTTTCTTCATTAATCAGGCAAAACATCTTCCTAGTCCTAAGAGATTTCCATGGTCTTGTTCAAGTTGTCATTCCCCAGGATGAGGTAATCAAAAATTTCCTTCTATTGTCTAAAATCTGCTTTCATGTTATAACTAGGGTAAGCTAAGTGATTTCATAAGTATGTTTGAGGCTTTATTTATTTTTTGTTTTTTGGTGCAGGGTTTCTTTATGTAGCCTAAACTGGTTTGGAACACACTGTGGAGCCCAGGCTGGCCTCTAACTCATGATTCTACTTCAGCCTCCCAAGTGCTGGGATTATAGGTATGCACCACCATGCCCAGCTTGAAGTTTTAAATTCAGAAGATCATTGTTAATACAAACTGAAAACTACTATAAACAACATTAAGACATGAAAAACTGAAAAAAAAATTACAACTCATAATAGAAAAAGACTAATTGTTCCAATATCTAAAAGGCTACTACAAATGATAAAAAAAAATATGGTGAACCAGTAGAATTATGAACCCAAAATATTAACATAAAATTTACAGAAAAGAGGACCGGGTAGTATATCATGGATATAATCCCAGCACTCAGGAGGCAGAGGCAGGTGGATTGTCAGTTCAGTGCCAACCTGGATTTCATTGTAAGATCCAGGTCATCCTGAACTACATAACAAGACCTTGTTTCAAAATGAAAGAAAGAGGGAGGAGAGGGGGTGGGATGGGGGGAAGAGAGATAGTGAAAGAGAATACAAAAAGGAAGAAAAACTCTTTTAACTGATAGTTTTACTTGCTATGTTATACAAAGTCAAAATGGAGATGGAATTTACCAAATTTTGTAATAAAATAATTGAGGACTTCTCTAATACTATGTCAAGTAAGCTGTGAATATTAATGTTTTTCTAAACTGTAGACCTAGAATTACTGAAGATACCTGTAAGTTCATTTGTTTCTTGAAACTGTTTTCCCCGTCTTATTCTGTAGTCATCTGCTTCTGTGAAGAAGATTTTATGTGAAGCCCCTTTGGAATCCGTGGTGAAAGTGTCTGGAATAGTCATTTCCCGACCTCCAGGACAAGAGAATCCAGTTAGTAGTTAGAAACTATATAAATTTGACCTATATGCATTTCAAATATCTGTGTACTCATGCAGGCAACATACATTGAACACCTAGTAGGCACTGAACACTAAAACTGAGTACTTTCTACAGACTTCAAAATCTTTATTATAGACACACCTATGTAAATATGCATCTAAGATATTTATTGATATTGAAAGTTGCATGGTAATACTTGCTGATTTCTGAGCTTATCAGTCACCAATATGCATAGGAATGCCAAAGTCATGCACAGACATTTATTTTTTATTCTGTACACTATAGCATCTACACTTTTTACATATATAAATAAATGCATGTTTTATAATATGTGCATTACATACATGTCATGATGAGTAATTTCTAAAATAGGTCTTTTCTTTTTCTTTTTAAGAAAATGCCAACAGGTGAGATTGAGATCAAAGTTAAAACAGCTGAACTTCTGAATGCCTGCAAGAAGCTGCCCTTTGAAATTAAAGACTTTGTGAAGGTGCTAGCCTCTCTTATTAACAAAATAAATAATAACAACCAGCAGAATATTTTCAGAATTTTTTTAAAGAAAAGTTTACCTTCCACAAAATTAAACATTTTACTACAGATGTATCATAAATTGTTATATTCTACAATTTTTTGGTGATTTTTATTTTATTTATTTATTTTTTTGCAGTCCTGGGGCTTGAACTCAGGGCCTCATGCTTGTTAAGCAGGCACCCTACCACTTGAGCCACTCTGCCAGCCCTATTCTATAATTTCTTGATGAATTCTAAAATAGTGACAGTTCACTAAACTGTCAGTTCATAAACATTCATACTTTTTTTTCAGACAGATTGAAATATGATTCTGTCTTTAAAACTTAGGGGTAATATTATTCAAGGTTTTTTTGTTATTATTTAACATTTTGAAAGGAAATTTACATCTATCTTGGAAATGGCTAAGTGGCAGAGGGATCCTGTACCTATTAAGCTTCTATCAGTGATAACATGTGTGCTTATAGCAGCTCTTGACTTTCCATATAAAATATAAATAGAATTATAATTTAGGGTGTGCTTTGCCAAAAGTTTGAGTGGTTGGTGGAGCTAGAAATCACTGAGTAAACGTATCTTGATGATTTTCAGCTTTGTCACTGAAAGAATTATATGTCCCTAATTTTTAACCTCATCTATTAAGGGATTTTTAAATTAACTTCTTAGTCTTGTATTTAAGTTCCCAGTACTGACAAAAAGCATTATGATTATAGAGTTGACCTTATTATGGAAAAGAAAATATATAGCTTTGCCAAGATAAACATTCAAAGAAATTACAGGTACTTCTTGCTTCAGTTCTCAGCACAAAGAGGAAGGCAGTGATTTATAGCTTTGAAAATTAATAAAGCATACTGTATTACAGCTAATATAGTAGTGAAGATTCCATCTACCATCTCCTTGCATCTTTGTACTTACAGTTAGTGCCCCACTCAGGTAATGAAACTGTAGATGTTTTTTTGGTTTTTTTTACTTTGGTATATCTTTTTAAAAGACCTTTGAAATCTGTTTTTGTTTTTTGAAGATTCAGCTATGGGCTTAAATGAATGGATAATTGTTTAATAAAGTAGGCAAATTAAAATCAGTAAGGGGTTATGTTAATAATGAATAGATGAATAGTAAAAAATGTGAAATTTGTGCTAGTGACAAAACTTTGAAGTTTGAGGAATTAAGGGCTTAGGCTATACCTCAGTGGTAGAAAACTTGCCTACCAAGACCCTGGGTTTGATGACAGCATCACTCCGCTCCCCCTCCCCCCCAAGAAAAAATTAAAAAAAAAACAACACCTTATAGGAATTAAGAATATAATAGTATATACACAAATGGGAACTAGCATACTGGAAGGCTACTTGGTGGAAACTAAAGACAGCTAAAGTTTTTTAAAGTTCATACTATTTAAAGACAACACCTTAATATTCAAGATATAAACATAACAATCTTTCAATTTGTTTAGAAAACAGAGGCTCTTCGTTTGCAGTATCGCTACTTAGATTTGCGCAGTTTCCAAATGCAGTACAACCTGCGACTGAGGTCTGAGATGGTCATGAAAATTCGGGAATATCTTTGTAATCTGCATGGTAAGGAAAAGCATGAATATTCCTTGGAATATTCTTCACTTCTGTTTTATTTACTAGTCCTTAGCATCATTGTGTCAGATGTTGCCAGAAGTCCAGAGTTCACACAGTGTGTAAATCAACTTTTGAAGAAAGGTTGATAACCAAGTTTTATCCTAGAGCATAATTTAGGAACTAGTTCCTTATTGGGTCACAAATAATCCTTTTAAAGTTCATAATGCCTGTTATAGTGTATAATGTAGTCTTTCCCATCACTGCTGAAGATGGGACAGCCCTTTGGTTGTTTTTACAGTGTAAATTTTCTTAATTCTTTCAGTTTTTTTTTTTTTTTTTTTGGCAGTATGTGGGACCTCACACTTGCTAGGCAGGCTCTCTGTCACTTGAGCCACTTTGCAAGCCTTTATTTATTTATTTAATGAGAGGGTCCTGATGTGTTGCCTAGGCTGGCCTCAAATTCTAAACTCCTGCCTCAGCCTCTCAATTGCTGGAATTACAGTTATGCACCACCATCCCCAAACAAATATTCTTAATTCTTTATCATGCATATACATTGTTTGTTGGGAAATCTGGAATTTCCTATGAATTAAATGACACCTTGAATTGTCCTGGGTTTTTTCCTTCTCTCTTTGTATTACTATTGCTAATAATAGTAATGTTTATTAGTAATAAAACATTTGGAATACCAGGACAGTTCAGTAGACTAGAAACCATGAAATAATAGGATTATTTCATCTCAGAAATATCAGCTTTATAAACATATTGGATTTTATGACAAGTTTTAGCTTTCTTCTTAGATTTGTAGAAACCATCAGTAAGCTTAGTAGATTATTTCAGCCCAAATTACTAATCAAAGGAGAGCCTTTGATTTGTTGTACTATACTGAAAACATCATAATTGACAAATTTCTATGCATTAAATTCTAATACTTCTCTCTTTTTAGGGTTTGTAGATGTAGAAACCCCAACATTGTTTAAGAGAACTCCAGGGGTATGTATATTCATTACTCATTCTGCTAATAATGTTCTCTCAGTTTCAAAACTGACCACTTTGTTTTTGTATTTGCTTTGCCTGTTTTTATTCACGTTTATTTACTTCCTCAGGATTGTCACATTAACTAGATTTTATTAAGAATTGAAAAATTGCTGGGTGCCAGTGGCTCACGCCTATAATCCTAGCTACTCAGGAGGCAGAAATCAGGAAGATCACAGTTCGAAGCCAGCCCAGGCAAATAGTTTGCAAGACTCTATCTTGAAAAAACCCTTCACAAAAAAGGGCTGGTGGAGTAGCTCAAGGTGTAGGTCCTAATTTTAAGCCCCACCACAAAAAAAAGTAAAATAAAAATTAAAAGGCCCTCTCTGTCTTCTCTGTGCTGGGAACAATCTCCTTCCATAATCACTTCCTACTGAAAATGTACACCAGCTCCAAATTGTCCCCACCCCCACCTTGGTCAGGAGTACCTCTTAGCTGCTCAGCCAACACTATCTGCAGTGGTGCTGACATGACCAGAAACTGACAGATGAGGCCTCAGAAGCTTGGTAGTCCCACGTCCCCTGACCTTACTTGTCCTTAAATACAACTTTCAAACTAGCACCATTTCAAGGAACATTGCCACAGCAGCCAAGTCCATTGAGGCTGAGGTTGCCATAGTTTGGTGTGACTAGCTTGGGATTGGGACTGTTTGGGAGACTCATCATTGCTTATGGCAGGAACCCTTCTCTGAAGCAACAGCTCTTCTGTGCCATTCTGCACTTTGTCTCATGGAGGCCTAATGGTGATCTGTCTCTTCTTTATCATATCAAGAAGTTGTCTCTGCTTCCCATAGGTCTTTCTCCTATGTCTTGTTTGCCCTGTGTGTTCTTTTTCCTAAACTTCCCCAGTAAGCCTGCAGAAAGTGATTGGCTCAGGGTTTGACAGAGGGGAGACAAACAAATACTGTATTAATAAGAAATAAAAGAAGCTGGGACTGGAGGCTCATGCCTATAATCCTAGCTACTTGGGAGGCTGAGATCAGGAGGATTGTAGTTTGAGGCCATCCAGGGCAAATAGTTTGAGAGACCCCCCATCTCCTAAATAACCGGAGCAAAATGGACTGGAGGCATGGCTCAAGCAGTACCGTGCACAGTTTTTAAAAATCTTATGTGCAAGCCTTTTTAGGAACTAAAAATCAGCAAGAAATTATCTCTGTCATTGTGAGAACTTTCGTCTTTGGTTAATTTCATTGATGGGCTGAAGTATCTACTTCCACCTGTGGAGTATATGTTGGGGTTTTTTGTTTTTGTTTTTTTTTTAATAAAGTGTGACTCAAGTGATAGAGCATTGCCTAGCAAGTGTGAAGACCTGAGTTCAAACCAGATCCAGTACTGCCAACAAAATTTTTAAAATGATAATAATAGTAATAATAATAATCTCTCCCTCTCTTTTTTGAAAGGGTGCCAAAGAGTTTTTAGTACCATCCCGGGAACCTGGAAAGTTCTATTCTCTCCCTCAGAGTCCTCAACAGTTTAAGCAGCTTCTGATGGTTGGTGGTTTAGACAGGTGAGGTGCTTATTTTTTGTTTTTTTTTCCCAAAGCATTTTTATTAACATACATTAGTTGTATGGGATGAGAGGGGGTGGGTTATTCTTTGTGACATTTCTAAATATGTTTACATTGTACATTGGTTAGATCACCCCCAGTATCTCTTCCCTTCATCCTCCTTCCTCCCCCATCAAAAACAATTGCAATAGGTTTCATTGTTCTATTTCCTATAATATGCAAAGCGTATCTACCATATTCACCTTCCTTCATCCCTTCCATTCATCCTCCTCCCTCCAACAAATACCCACCCCCCAGGTAAGGTGTTTTTTGCTTTTTAATGCTATTAGTTACCAGAAAAGGAAAAGGGAAAAAGAAAGAAAAGAGATAAGAACCACAACATTGTCTGATCTGCAGAGAAGTCTAGAAAATTTATGTGAGTTCATAGAATACTTAGACCCTTAAAATTTGTAGCAGTTATCATTTAGTTAAGATTTACCATGTGCCCACCATGTACAAAGCTCTTTGCTAGTAGATATGGCAAGGAATTTTTAAAAATACCATAGTGAATTAAACTGACTGTGAAATAACTCAAAATATAAGTGTGTTGAACTTTACAAACTAGGTATTGTTTGAAATTACATTTTTTGGGAAAATATAGAAAGAATTGTGAACTCGACCTTTGAGACAAAGCTGCATTTCAGCAGGTGAAGATCAGAGTTGGAATGGCATAGCACAGGAAGGCTCAAGTGTATTCATAAAATAGTATTTTTGAGACAAAGCTGCATTTCAGCAGGTGAAGATAAGTGTGTTGAACTTTACAAACTAGGTATTAGTTTGAAATTACGATTTTTTGGGAAGAATATAGAAAGAAATTGTGAACTCGACTTTGAGACCAAAGCTGCATTCAGCAGGTGAAGATCAGAGTTGGGGAATGGCATACGCACAAGGAACAGGCTAAGTGTAAATTCATAAAATAGTATTTTTGAGACAAAGCTGCATTTCAGCAGGTGAAGATCAGAGTTGGAATGGCATAGCACAGGAAGGCTCAAGTGTATTCATAAAATAGTATTTGGTTGGCCAGTGCAAGAGAGTGTATGTAAGGAAGGATGGGCTGGTTTCAACCAGTCTAATGTATGAATATACAAAAGTGCCAGAGTATGTTTTGAAAACAATATATAGAATAGTAAATTCTCATGGGTTAGCTGCGTGTCTGGTTAGATTAAAGCATCAGAGTTTCTTATGTCTTTTAGGTATCATAATTAATTTATTTGCTAGCCTGCATTGCCGTTAACTTTTGGAGGAAAGCGCATGTGTTCTCTTAGTCTCGTGACTCAGTTAATGCTATTTTTCAATTTTAGATATTTTCAAGTTGCCCGATGTTACCGAGATGAAGGTTCAAGACCAGATAGACAGCCCGAGTTTACTCAGGTACTAAGTTATATTTACTGTTCCTTACAAATTAAAGTGTACTACCAAGTATTTTCAAGACCAGGGCAATAAAGTAACCTACAGTTGAGTAACTCATTCAATTTTGTGTATGTGTGCGTGTGTGTGTGTGTGTGTGTGTGTGTTACCAGGACTCAAGACCTTGCAATTGCTAAGCAGACCCTCTACCACTTGGGCCACACTCAGCCCAACCCTTCAATTTTTAATCCATTTCCTGGGTCCTTTTCATAGGGAATGTGGTCATTAACTGATGAATGCCAGAGATTCCTGTAGTATTTTGATGTTCATAATATGATAAAACTATAAATCTCTTGTACATTAAGAATAAGTACCCCAAGCCAAGCACTTGTGGCTAACTCCTGTAATCCTAACTACTCAGGAGGCAAAGATCAGGAGGATCGCAGTTCAAAGCCAGCCTGGGCAAATAGTTCATGAGATCCTATCTCGAAAAACCCTTCACAAAAATAAGACTGGTGGAGTGGCTCATGGTGAAGGCCCTGAATTCAAGCCCCAGTACCTGGGGCAAAAAAAAAAAAAGGAATCAATACCTCAATACTGTACAAAAATAATAATTTGGACTGGTGGAGTGACTCAGGTGGTAGAGCGCCTGCCTAGCAAGCATGAAGCACTGAGTTCAAACACCAGTACTGCCAAATAAAAAGAAAAAAGATTAATAATTTTGTATATTGATATTTAAACTATTTATCTAATCTGTGGACTTATCAAAGCCATTATGATTTGGTTTCTGTATGATAGTGTGAATCAGTGTGATGAAGTATAAAAATCAGGAGGTTTGGAATTGAACAGACCAAGCATCAAATGTAGCGTTACCACTACTGATTGCAGATATGCAAGCAAATTACTTAGCCTCTTTGAGCCTTAAACCATGAGGTAGTTGTAGAACTAAACAAGTTGATGCACGGTAGGCATTATTTACAGTGCCTGACATAAAACAGATATATAGGAGTATTTATACCCTTCCCATGTATTAAGTATTTATGAGCAGAGTGCTATAGTAACTTGAAAGCAGAAAAATACATATATTGTGACTATTCAAATTAGTTTCCATGTTATTTTGGTTTCAGATTGACATAGAGATGTCTTTTGTAGACCAGACTGGCATCCAGAGTTTAATTGAGGGTTTGCTCCAGTATTCCTGGCCCAAAGATAAAGAACCTATCATGATTCCTTTTCCTTCCATGACTTTTGCTGAGGCATTGACCACCTATGGAACTGATAAACCAGACACTCGCTTTGGGATGAAGGTATTCTCTTCACTTTTGCAGGATCCTGCTCTTAAATAGCTCCACAGTTTTTTAAACCATTTTGATGAAATTTTTAAGTGTCCATACTGTTGGATCACAGTTGTTGTCACTTTGGCTTGTTACTTTGTTGTTGCCCCACTCCAGCAAGACAGAATAACAGCATATTAACATTACAATGCTTTTTCCTCTGTTGAGTTCCAAGACCCATTTCCAAGAACAAGATTTATTTGTAATATGGAATAGTAGTTCTGAAGTCAGACTAATTGGGTTCAGTCCTGGCTCTGCCACTTTCTAGCTCTATCATCTTGGACAAGTTAATTCCTTCTCTGTACCTCTATTTCTTTATGAAATGGGGATGATAAGAGTGCTAACCTCATATACTCTTGTTGGGCTGGCAGAGTGGCTGAAGTGGTAGAGCAACTGCTAGCCAAGCATAAGGCCCTGAGTTCAAACCCCAGTACCACAAAACAAACAAACAAACAAAGGAAAAACATAGTCCTACTCATATACTCTTGTTGTGAGGATGAAGCGAATGTATGTAGAACACTTGTCATAGTGCTTAACCTATGGTAAACCCTCTATGAAGGCTCTCTGTAAATGTTAACTTGTCAAGATCTATTCTGTTCTTTACAATCTTATTTGTAAAATATTTTGAGATGAAAATGACTTAATGTTTAGTCACCCCTTTTCACCATTTTTTAGATTGTAGATATCAGTGATGTGTTCAGAAAGACAGAAATCAGATTTCTTCAAGATGCACTTAGCAAACCACAAGGAACTGTCAAAGCCATATGTGTCCATGAAGGAGCAGTAAGTGAAGCATAATTCTGTTTTCTCCAGAATGTATGTTTTGAAAGCAAATATGTTCAACCCTAGCACATTTCTTCTGGAGAAAGAAGTATATAGAAAGGTGCTTTTGGCTGGGCCACAGTGGCTCACACATGTAATCCTACCTGTTCAGGAAATGGAGATCAGGAGGATTGAGGTCTAAAACCAACCTGGGCAAAAAAGTCCATGGGACCCCATCTCAACCAATAGAAAGTTGGGTGCAGTGGCACACACCTGTCATCCCAATGAGGCAGAAAGTGTAAATAGGAGCATTGTGGTCCAGGCTGGCAGTGTGGCTCAAGTGGTAATGTGCCTGCCTAGCAATCATGAGTCCCTGAGCTCAAATCCCAGTACCATTAAAAAAAAAAAAAAAAAGTGTGTATATATATATATATATATATATATATATAAAGATGAGGTTTACTTTCTAGATCTAGGGCTTTTTTTTTTTTTCTTTTAAACAGTGCTATACAGTACTCCTGTACTTCATTTAGGATAATTTTGCAGGAGAGATTTTATGAGCATAAAATAGTGTTCAGTATTTTCTGTTTGTGAAAAGTTTCTCAGCCCTACATCAGCTTCTGCTCAATCCTTGCCTGTTGACTTTTGGTCTGGCCTCAATTGCAGAAATAACAGGAGATGAAAAGGAGGCAGAGCTGGGGGTGGAGGTGGCTTATTGATAGAGTACTTGCCTAGCATTTGTGAGGTTCAGTCCCCAACACTGAAAAGAATAGGAGGTGGCACCAAAAAGCAAAAAGAAAGGGAAGTAGAACTAGAAGAGAGAGAATGATTGTGCTGAACAAGCACTCACTCTGAAGTAGTGGGATACATCTGTTTTCTAAAATTAGTACACTTGCTTTGAAAATAATTTAATAGTAGTCATGCCAGAAGTTTCTTGAGCAAGATTACTTTTTTTTGGTGTTTTGAGACAGGTGTCTCTACATAGCTATGGCTGGCCTAGAATTTACAGTCCTCTTGCCTCAGTCTCCCAAGTTCTGAGATTACAAGTATGTCCCACCACACCCCATCCTAAGACTACTGGGGGTAAGAACTGTCTGATTTTATTATTATTATTATTATTATTATTATTCACCTCCAAAGTTCATCACAAAGTAATTTGGTATACATACTCTAGTGCAGACATAAAAAGTATGTTCAGGTAGGCTGAGGATAACACATTGCCTCTTACTGTTTACCTCATTTCAAGTATGCCTGTTCTTCCCTGAATAGACATAAAAACTACAGGGATACACATTGTGCTCTCACTTTTTTGTACTTTGCACACCTAGTTAATTGCCCCCAGAAGTATAGTTGATAATAACCCTAGTGTCTCACTTAGAAAGACAATGAGGTAAATTAGAAAACATAAGATTTATAAAGACTTTTAAGAAACCTGAAATAACAAATTCTGAATCCTCTTGATCCTAAAATGTTTTTTTTTCTTTCATAATTCAGTTGTAGAGATTTATTTTGAATAGATCCTGTATATTACATGTACAAAATCTTCTGTGGAATACAGTCACAACTATTTCCAATTATAGTTGCATAACTGGGCAAAAAAATAAGTCCTATAATAAGCTTTAAAAATTTGTCATTTGGCAGTAGAAACTAATTTTTTGTTAAATCCCACTATTATGCTAGGAACACAAAATATATTTGATACATTTTACATGTTTATGAAGCTGAGTGTTGAATTAATGGGTTTGTTTGATTTTCTTTCATCAGAAGTACTTAAAAAGGAAAGATATTGAATCCATTAGACAATTTGCAACTGATCATTTTAATCAGGTAAGGAATTAAAGCAAGTCCTTTTTCCTTTTGGGAATTCTATATTTTTAATAATTGCTTGAACTCTTAGTTGCAAAGTCTTATTTCAGATCATACTTTGCTTTTGTCATTCTTTTTTACCAGTGTGGGGAATTGAGTCCAGGGCCTTGAGTTTGCTCAAAGAAGAAATACATCTACCATTTTTTTTTTAACTTAATTAATTTTAAACTATCTGTCAGCTTGCTACAGTGAGATGAGGCTCGCATACACAGACCTCACCTAGTTACGGGGTATCTTCTGCAGTGCTGTCTTTCGGTACCTTTTCTTCGTTCCTCTTCTGAGTTAAAGCCACTCTTTTCTGAACTCCAAATCTTCCTCTTTCTTATTTGTGCTGAAATATATATTCAAGTAACTTTCTAAGAAAGCATCAAAACCTCACCCTTGATTAATAATGATTTGGCTCAGAATAAAATTCTGAATTGACAATCACACCAATGCTGTTTTTTTAATTTAATTTTTTTTTTACAGTGCTAGAGATCAAACCAAGGGCTTTGCACATGCTAGGGAAATGCTGTACCACTGAACTACATCCCCAGCCTGTCCTGATTATTTAGTCTTCTTGCTTGTTAGGCAAGCACTCTGCTACTTGATCCTTGCCTCTAGGCTCCTCCTGGTTTCTTGATATTCTGATATTTCATAGTTTGTGGAGCTTTGGCTCTTTTCCTAATCCAGTGTGTTACACACTTTGAAGGGCCCTTTAATAGGAAGGCTCATTTGTTTCATCTGTAGATGTTCCTTTATTGCCTAATTATTTTGTTGGAGTTCTGTTGTGGTTTTTGGTTTTTTGTTTTTTGTTTTTTTTTTGGTACTGGGAATTTGACCCAGGTCCTATTGCATGCTAAGCACCACTCTACTACTGAGCTAATTAGTCCCAGTTCTGAAATTCCACTTTACCATTTTCTCTAGTCTCTTAGAATTTCTGTTAATTGCATGTCAAATCCCACATACACCAAGTCAATTCCCTATCATTTTCTCTGTCCTTTAAATTCTATTTTCTGGGAGTTTTCTTCAACTCTTCTGTTAAACTTTTTTTTGTTTGTTTGTTTTAGGAGGTTTTTTTTTTTTTTGGTTTCTCTGGTGGGACTAGGGGTTGAACTCTGCATTTTGCAAGTACAAAGCCAACTCTACTACTTGAGTCATACCTCCAGTTCAGACCCTAATCCTATCAAAAAAAATTCCTTCATATCATATTAAGGGGCTTGGGGAAGGAATAGAGATAATCTCTTCTACTGGGAACCAGAAATCTTTGCACTATAAGAAAATAAATCAGTCTCACTTTTTAAAAAAGTATAAATAAGCCTTTTTCTTTATCACAGGAAGTTTTGCCTATATTCCTGAAAGCCAACAGAAACTGGAATTCAACAGTTGCCAAATTCATAATGGAGGAGCAAAGATTGGAATTAGCCAGACTGATGGAGACCCAAGAGGAAGATGTGGTCCTGCTAACTGCTGGAGAGCACAAGAAAGCAGTAAGAAAAATTATCTCCAAGCACCCATGCTGTGCATGCTGAATACTGCCTCTCTTCTCATGTCTGTGTCCATATTTAAAGTGGACTGTTGGGTTCATAAAATGGAGCTGCTCTGTATAAGTTGCTTCATAGATATCTCTCAGCACTATGAAAAAAAACAGGAATCTTTTTCATTAGCTACCCACTTCCATTGGCATTACTCATACAGATTAAATCTGATTCTGATTAGGAAATCCGTTTGAGTAGAGGGTTCATGGTATTTAGTTATACAACTATGAAAAACTGTTTACATTTTCAAGGTTTTACAGATGAAGGAAATTTGGTGGTTGCAGACTTTTGCGTATAATGCATTCCTAAAACTGGAGGGATAGTTCAGACCCTAGAGGACTGCTGGACACAGATAACCCCAGACCAATGTGATGAAGCAAGACCCTTTTTTTTCCCAACAGCAGCAGCTGCAGTGGAAAACTGAGGCATGGAGCTTAAAATTTTCTCACAGTAATACAGTTAGTACATGGAGGAGTCAGATTTCTAACCCCAAATTCTAGTTCCAAAATCCACTCTTAAATTTGCATCTAATCCATATTACTTCTAATAATGGTCAGTGTTTACTGAACATTAACTATGTATCAGACATTGACAAACTCCTCACTGTAAGCCTGAAAATAATCAGAGTAAAGAACTTTGTCAGGTTCTGTACCTTAGTACCTTTTCTTACTTCCTCTTCACAATAGTCTTACATTAATGTCATTTTTTGTCTTTTTTTTAGGTTCCCCCTTAGCCCCCACCCCAAACAGCTTTATAATACTTTTATACTACACATGGTGATGCACAGCTGTAATTCCAGCTACTCAGGAGGCTCAGGCAGGATGATCTCTTGAGCCTGGAAGTTTGAAACCAGCCTAGGCAACATACCAAGACCCCATCTCAAAATATGTAAGACACACACATATTCAGTCTTTTTTGGAATAGACATTTTTATCACGATTTTACTATGGAAAAGGGTATAGAGAAGTTAGTAAGTAGTCAAACAGATTAATACCTAGGTCTGTGAAACTCTGATACCTGTGTTCCTAATCACTTGACATCAAGTGTTTACCCCATCAGCATAGTCTGACAGTCCTTCTCATTCATGTTGTAGTCAGATCATCCTTAGATCTCTCTCCTGAGAGATAAAGTGTCTCATCTATTAATGGCTAATTCTTGACCAGAGAATGGTCTGCTTCAGAATCTAGTTTGTGTCATCTAATGCCTACTCTGTCAAGAAACTAACTCAATGTTTGTGTCTTCTGTTTGCAGTGCTCTTTGTTGGGGAAATTACGACTGGAATGTGCCAATCTTTTGGAAATGAGAGGAGTGGTGCTCCGTGATCCAAAGCTATTCTCTTTCCTTTGGGTGGTAAACTTCCCACTCTTCCTTCCCAAGGAGGAAAATCCCACAGAGCTGGAGTCAGCCCACCACCCATTTACAGCTCCTCATCCCAGTGACATTCACCTCCTATACACTGAGCCTAAAAAGGTACCATATCTATACTTCCAAATAAAAAGGAAACATATAAAGACAAAGAACTTCAAAGTTCCCAAAGACAGATAGAACCTATAAGAATCTGGAAACCTCAGAAAAACTGGGCCAGTAGTTAGTATATTCTCTAAATAGCTATAATGTTTTCAACCTGACAGGACAGAAAACCTGAAATTTTCTCTAATATAAAGGTTCTGTAAATCTTCTAGGTTCGTAGCCAACATTATGACTTGGTTTTAAATGGCAGTGAGATAGGAGGTGGTTCTATCCGAATTCATGATGCAGAGCTACAGCGTTACATCCTGGCAACATTATTAAAGGTAACAAGTATCTTCTGATGTGACCTTACTGTTTTACTCAAGTATTTGTCAGTTTTATTAAACATTTGTTATGAATGGAGGATTTGTTTTTGTTAAATACGAAATAATGTCCCTTTATCTCTCCACCTCTAGTCATAGGACTTAGAGAAGTAAATGACCGTAACAGCTCTTATTAGTGCTTACTATGTTCCAGGGACTGCTTGAGTACTGTATATGCTTTGATGTATTTACCCCTCACAATTACCTGGGATTTGAACTCAAGGCCTTGCACTTGCTAGGTAAGCACTCTATCACTTGAACCAGGTCCCTACTCCTTATTCTTCTCATTTTAAACATGAGACAGGTAATTTAGCTTGCCCAAAGTCACACAGCACAGCAGTAAATAGAGCCAGTAACTGACCACTGCATTGCTCAACAAAAAGTCATTTCCAGGGTGGGGATGTAGCTCAGTGGTAGAGCATTTGCCTAGCATGTGTAAAGTTGTGTTCAATCCCCAGCACTGCAAAAAAAAAAAATAAACTTTTAAAAAGTCATTTTCAGTGACTAGTAATGTTAGGCTTAGTTTTTTGTTTTTGTATGTTTGGTTTGTGTTTTTGAGACAAGGTCTTCCTTGTCTCAAGGCTGGTGGTGAATCTGGAATCCTCCTGCTATAGCCTCCTGAGTGTAGGGATTATAGGCATGAACCACTACACCTAGCTAAAAGAGAGGTTTAAAAGGATTTCATCTCACTTAATAGATATACTTTAACTGCACTTAAGGTAGTGGTATATTTCAGGAGTAGAAAGTGGGATATTCAGAATTTTAAAAAGGAAAGTCTATACAGATGCCAACCTAAGAATTTGAAGTTCATCATTCTTGCCCTCAAGTTCTACCTCCCAGCAGCATGTGACATTGTTGCCTTTTTAAACAGTCCTTCTCTTTCCTTTGGTCCTTGTATGACAGGACAGTCCCTGCTTCTCATCCTACCTTTGTGAGCACACACCTCTTCCTCCTTGATTGGTCTTATTCTGCTCACATTATCTACACAGTAACAGCTGCATTTGCTGAGCACCAGGCACTTTTCTACATGTTATGATCGTCTGTGTATGTGAAACTTTTTTGACACAAGGTCTCACTATGTAGCCCAGAGGCTGGCCTCTGATTCTCAGTCTTCCTGCCTCTTCCTTCTGAGGACTGACAATACAGACCTGAGTGATTTGTCTTATGCCCTTGCTAAACTGTAAGCTTTCTTAAGGTTTTTTGTTTTTACATTTCCCAATGAGATTTAATATTAAAGTAATGTTAGAGTTTTTTGTTTGGTTTTTTTAGCTCAACTTTATTTTCCCTTTAGTACCTAAGATAAATGTGTGGCATTAGTGGGCCTTAAGTACATATTTAAATAGAGTATTTTTTGAATTTTAGGAAGATGTAAAATTGCTCTCCCATCTGCTTCAGGCTCTAGATTATGGGGCACCCCCTCATGGAGGAATTGCCTTAGGTAAGCAGTTTATCCTTTCATAAACTAAATTTCATTCCATAGCATCTGTGTTGCAAATTTGGACTCTCAGCTTATGGTGGTGGGAGGGATTGAGTGTAAGAGTTCTATGAGAAATCTAACTTTCTGTTTTAATATAAGTTCCTATTTATTTAATGCTGGGGATTGAACTCATGATAAGCATGCACTCTAGTACATTTTCAAAATGTATTTTACCAATTATTAAGATAAAACTTAACTGATAATTTGCATTTGAAAGTGTTTTGGGGGTTTTTGTTTATTGTTTGCTTTTGAGACAGGGTCTCATGGTATATAGACTAGGTTGGCCTCAAACTTTTGATACTCTTTTCTCTGCCTTCCGAGTGCTTCCAAGTGTACCACCACACCCATTTGAAATTGCAGGTGATTAAGTTAAAATTGCCCAGATCTTGGATTCAATCTCTAGCACTGGTTGCAAACACAAGGATAAAGAAAAAAATATTTCTCAAATCTTTGAGGCCTCACAGACACATTCAATGCTGTGTGAAAAGCACTGCTCCAGAGTGTTCAGCTTTTGTGCAAATAGAATATGCCAGTGTCCTTCTCATTATCATGATTACTCTGCTTATTTTATTAAGCAAAGAAGTATGAAAAGTTCTAAGAAGCTCAACCAGACTTCAGGAACTTTTGTGTGTGTGTGTTGGTTGGGAAAGGGGTTTTTTTTAGTGTTAAACCGATAGCCTCCTACGTGCTAGGGAATGTCCTTTTGTTTTTGGAGTTCCCTGCAGAGCACCTAATAACCTAATACATTGTTCAGCCTGTATTAGGGCCCTTAGTAAGCCATTAATAGGAATTTGCTAATTATTGTAACAATGTTAGTAGCATGTGAACATTACTCGAGCACTTTTCCAGAATGAGGTAGAAAAAAAACATTCAAAAAACAAGTTCTCTAAAAAGATTTGACTGTAACTTGTGAAAGATGTGTGTGTGTGTGTGTGTGACATAATTTGAACTTTCAACTACTTGAGCCACATCCCAACCCTCTCTACAACTTTTATAGAGAAACTAAGTCATTCCCAAAGTTAGATTACTATACATTTCTCATCTATTAAGTTAGATTACTATACATTTCTCATCTATTAACTTTATATTTTACTCACAGGGTTAGACAGGCTGATGTGCCTTGTCGCTGGAGCTCCAAGCATCAGAGATGTCATAGCCTTCCCAAAATCATTTCGGGGACATGACCTCATGAGCAATGCCCCAGATTCTGTCCCTCCGGAGGAACTGAAGCCCTATCATATCCAGGTCTCCTGGCCAACAGACTCAGAAGCAGAAAAGAGCTCATTGAATCAGTCACACCACTTGGAAAATTAAGATTTTGATTTTGTCTTCATTGCTTTGCTAAGGCTAAAATCAGATCCAGATTTGCCACAGATACAACAATTGTTTAGGTGGAAGTAATCAAGGCAACATTTTTTGCCATAAGAAATGAAAGAACCAGGCATGGTGGTACACATCTGTAATCCTATCCCTCAGGAGGCTGAGTTAGGAGGATCATGAGTTCAAGACCACCTTGGAATACATAGTAAGACCCTGTCTCAAAAAGAAAACAGGAAAAAGAAGACATCCAATTTTGATTTGGTAACATGCACTTTTAGGTTGAGATATTTTTGAAGATCTCTTTTACTTGGAGTGGTAAAACATGGTTCTTTATTGGAGTAATGTGGCTTAATATTTTCTAATCATGTTTTCAATACCCAGATAGATTATTCACTTAGGACAAAAAGAAATCAAGTCATATAGGAAAGTGTTTGCCTCTGTAGACTGGCCAGATGGTGAAGGGAGAGTTTTAGTTCATAGCCTCAAGAGAACCGTATCAATTAAGCTTTATGGTGACATTTCAACTATCAACATAGTAAGAAGTAGCATAATGCAAAAAATATCACTGAATTGAGTGTTTTACTTTGAACAAATTACATAAATCACTCTTAGCCTCCTTTCCTGCTTATGTAAAATGCAAACAATGCAACGGGACCCTTGCCAGAATCAGAGTTTATATTTATAGAAGATAACGTGAGTGAAATGCTTTGAAAAACTGAAGCAGGGCTGGGGAGGAAGCCAAGTAGTAGTGCTTGCCTAGTGTGGGCAAGGGCCTGCACTCTAATCTCCAGCATCTCACACACACACACAAGCCAGGCATGGTAGTCATGTCTGTAATCCCAGCACTCAGGAAAGTGAGGCAAGCAAGATCATGAATTAAAGGCCAGCTTAGCCTATATAGCAAGGATGTCTCAAAAAAAAAAAAAAAGTGATAATGTTATCCAGCCATAAACAGATAAATGAATATCCATGTATTTTAATAGTTTTTGTAGTTTAAAATGAAACAAAACATTTGTAATAAAAGAAAAACTAGGGCTGGTACCAGCATAAGGCTCTTAGTTCACACCCCAGAACCACAGAAAAAAAAAGTTCTATGAATCAGTATTCTAAAGACAATCATTAACCCTTGAATAGTATTATAAGAAACTGAAAATACTAATTAGACCTTAGACTAACCTTAACTGTATAAGAAAGTGAACTCTGAAGCTTTTAAAAGTTCTGATGATACACTAAAAACTATAATAAATTAGTAATTACAGAATGGAAATAAGGTCTTGATTAATGACTTTGGATTTTTCTTTACTTATTTTTGGTTTGAGATGTCTTTGATTTATAAACATTATGAATTGTCTTAAGCCATGTGATACCATGGTTCTTTTCCATATAAAAATAAAATTTGCCCCATCTCCAAGTCTACCTAATATGTGACACTTAAAAATAGGCTATTATAGGACTAGCAGAGTGGCTCAAGTGGTAGAGCACCTCCCTAGGAAACTCAAGGCTGAGCTCAAACCCCAGTACCACCAAGGGGGGAAAAAAAAGGCTATATAAAGTATGTGTCTTTCTCTGCTGAACGCTGGTACACCAATGTGAACTAAATTTGACCCATTACCTAGTAACCATTTTTGAGTACTTTAGAGCTACAGAGCCTTGCTGGCAGGGATCACTTTACTAGAAAGTGGCCAACTCTGCCCTTTTTCAGTGGAAATTTGAGTCGCCTCTTATTTACGGAAATACACCTACAACTTCTATGTAAGTTCACTATTTGCTAATCTAACTCTGACCAAAATGTCTGTCTGAAGGTAAATGAGATACTGAAGACATTTCAGAGAACACATTTGGTTTTTGAACTCAACTTCATGTTTCCTAGACAGGCTTGAGCCACTCTGCCAGCTATTTTTTGTGTTGGTATTTTCAAAACAGGGTCTCAAACCATGAACCTCCAGACCTCTGCCTCCTGAGTAGACAGGATTACAAGTGTAAACCAACACCTGGCCTTGGCCTTTGGGGGAGCAGGGCAGGTTACTGGGGTTTGAACATGGCCTACACCTTGAGCCACGCCACCATCCCTTTTCTCTGATGGATTTTTTCAAGATATATTATCAAATTATTTGCCCAGGCTGGTGTGGATCCTCTTGAGTAGCTAGGATTTGATGTGAGCCGCCTGCACCCAGTTTTGTCCTCAAACTCTGAATCCTACTGCCACAAATACTACAGGCCCTAGACATGACAGGACTCATGGCTTAAACCTATCAAGGACTTCACCATTACTCAGCTTTTCTCCAGGGGTATCAGTAAGTAAAAATACTCATCTTTAAAATCCAAGGAAAGGTCTTTACTCATTGTGGGGGGCACTATGTATCTCATAGCTGGAAATACAATTTAGCAGTAAAGAGGAATTACCTACTGTGTTTAATCCTGAACACCAATAACACAAGCAGTAACTACCACAAGTTAATAGCTTCAAGAGAGCTTTTGACTTGTTGGGAAAAGATGTGTAAGATTAGTCTATTGGTGTATCTACACAGCTACTCTTTTGCCAGAATTCAAAGGAAATAGAGCTCTAACACTGGTAATTCCTTGCTTTCTGTTAAGCATACTGTATCCTAAAAAAGCAACCTTAAGGACATTTCTCTTGAGTTAGCCAAGTGTACAAAAAAAATGTTAAAACAGGGTATAATAAAGTTGTACACAAGTGTACATCTAAATCAGACTTCTATATTTACACTCATTTGAGTTACAAAGAATTTAAATGTCAGATGACCTGGCTTTACTATTCTATGTACCTAAAGTGCAGTTACTTCAACTTCTCGAGCAATAGCACTCAAAAAATCCAGTACTGCCAAGAAACTAAACAGGAAGGCAGGTTATGATGGCACATGCCTAACAGGAATATCAGTGATTACAGATGTGAGCTAACACACCATAAGCGATGGACAATATACCAAAATTTTCCTGAATCATGAATTAGGTTTCTTCCCTTGACTCTTTATGCTCTATGCTCCCTGGATTCATCCCATCACCAAAAAAATGAGCACACACCAACAAACTGTTTATCAAAATTTATTTAAAACTGTTGGTTTAGTCTTCTGTCCCAGAGCATCCATCTAGTTGCCTGCAACAAAAATATCACTTTAAGCTACATTTGCACATTTCAATTTAAAATGGTACTTGGGAAACAAAGAATATCAGATCTTTTATTGTCATCAAGTAGTCAGTGAGAGAGTTCAAGTTGGGGTGAGATCATCATGTATTCTGGTATGTAACAGTGCTGAATTATTTCCCATCCTCACCTTTCAAAGGTTAAGCTGCCAAGTTTGCTGCTGCCATAGAAACCCTAAAAGCCAAAATTACAACACATTAATCAAAGTTAAAAAAAAAAAAAAGCCTGTGTGATGCTTATTTGTATACAAGTAACCTCAGAAACAAAGTGGAACGGTTTTATAGGTGATATCATTTTATCTCATTTGGCAGAATCATTACATCACTGGTTACATTCCAAGTTATTACATATACAAAAATATGACTTACCTTGCATTTACCAGTGTAGCAGTGCTGTCTACCTGTTTGAAGATTTAAAAAAAAACCACTTAACTAATCATTTACACAATATACTAATTTGCAAAAATTTCACCAAAAGAAAAATATGTACTAACCTGCATTTCTCCAACAATCTTTGGTGTCTAAGCAGGACTCTTGCCCTGTCTCTACATCTCAAATAGATAGGGACTAACTACAGGTGATTTCTACCACAGCAAGTTCCATCTTGAATCCGTAACTCTGAAAATAGAATACATTTTAAGTTACTATACTAATCCAAATTTTATGCGAGGGTAAAAGGCTAAAGTAACATGGTTTTGTTACAGCCAGATACATCAGATAGGAGCGAAAGACATAATTGTGCTCATCAGTGCTAGTCTGCTGAACTATGTTATCATCATTGTATCGGCTTTTATGTGTTTTCAGACAACTTAGTAAAAGTGAGAAGTGTCTGCAAGCAAGCAAAGGCTTGATCCAACACAAAAGACACAACTGTTGTACCTTTGCTTTAAATCTCGTACTGTGCCCCGTCAAGCTGCCTCTTCATACCTGCAGTAATTTAGTTTGGTTTAGCAATGGCTATTTAATAGTCAGAATCCAAAAAGACTCAGATTACTGTTTCAGTTCAAAATTAATCTTCACATTTTTTCAGAGAGATTCCCATCTGTTTTATTTTAAAAGTCATCACCAACAGCATCTTGCTTGTCAACACATCAAAATGAGTAAATCAAATTACCTTTTTTAAAAAGGTATCCTCAATCTGGACCTGAAAAAGTTATTGAATCTTTAGACAGTTTTCTAGTTTGAGCAATGTAAGATTGAACATAGCATTCACCTATAAAATGTTTAATGCAACTGCCTTTACTGAGTACAGAAATAAGACTCAACAAAAAAATTATTAATTATTCTCTAACAATTATTCACTTAACAATTCTTAATTCCTACTAACAGGTCCCACTTCAGAAATACAAAAGGTATAATGTCAGAAGACAAACTCCTGTCTTCCTATACTTACCCAAACAGCTGTCCAGACTAAAATATGCACCCCGTAGCTGGAACAAAAAAACCACTCTTATTAGAACATAAAATGCCATTAAATTCCCCTCAGAGTTGTTTGTCACAGGGTTATTCAGCGCTAAATGTGTCCACATGCTCATTTCAGGTCAGACATTTGACCAACATCATTACAAAAACCCCGTCCAGAGCATGCTCAAAATGGCTTAAGTTTGCACTCATTAGCCAAACAAATGTTAAGCTATTAAATCTTAATACGCATGCCACTTCAATGACAAAAAAAATGACATTTGCAGGCTCCAGTCTCCATTTACTAATACTTACTTGAAAAATATAACAGGTCCTGATGCAATTCATCTGTTTTCTCCTTTAAAAGAAAGAGGGGTTTTCAGAATAGCAAAAGATGAACTTTCTGCCCTGGAAACTAACAAAGCCTGCTATCAGTTAGAGCTAATTCAGACCTTCACATCAAGTCAGTTATTTGCTTATCATCATGCAGGCTGCACTTACAAATATTCACAGAACAAAGACCTAGCATTAATTTAATTGATGGTAGCATACTGTGTAAAAGAATACAATTCAAAAACTATTTGCTTTCAATTTGCCCAGTTACCTGTTTGGTTGGGTAATTTTACTCACCCTTTCATCATCTTGTTATGCAGTACCTACAATAGATTTTAAACATAATTACAATTTAAATTTAGGCTAGTGGGATACTTCTTGTGCAAATCCCAGATACATCAGACAAATTGAGTATTTCTTCATGATTTAATCTGCTGAACTATGCAACCATCATAGTATCTGTTTTTCTCCTACTATCAAAGTTAAAACAAATTCACACTTAAAACAGGAAAATATCTGTAAAAGAACCCACTGTTTTGGCTACTTTCTAATCCCTTAAAGACAGTTTTTAAAAGTACTACTATGAATACAAACTAAAACTGAAGCTTCTCACCTGTGTGCCCATGAGACTGGCTTGCTCTTTAGTACCTGGGAAGAAAACTTCCTGTTAACTCAGGCGCAATATCTATGCTCCCCAAATCACTGTTTTATGTGCCTCAGTAAGTATAATGGTGGTTACATTTATCGTCATTCTTGCAGTCAAGAGTAGCAAATAAAATGTCATCATTGTGGCACAGTTACCTTTACATAACTTCCCACAAGTAAATTTCATTAACTTACCTCAGTCAGTTCTCACCTCCCTTTGGCACTTAGCTAGGAAAGAACCAAAAAAAATTAACTGAAAAGACTGCCTGTAACTATTTCAAAGTACACATATTACCAATAAAATATATAAAGCCTCAGAATTATCTTTCAGAAATCCGTTCTGTCCACTACTCTTATTCCATCACAGGCTTAATATCAAAATAGGTTTCTATGTACTTTTCCCTCCCATTTTCCTTAATCGTACCTGTCCATAAATGCCATCATCAAAATCCACATTGCATCCATTCCTCAGCACCAATCCTGATGGAAAAATTCGGGTAAACTTTCAATGCACTTGCTCCAACTACGCAAATAATTCATACCACTAGGTGTAGGATGCACCTAGTCTAAAAGAGCATTGCACCCAGTTATCTCCCACCCATGCAAACAATTGTGCCCCACAGAACGGCAGACGTTATTAAAAAAAAACGTGGTTTCCAACTACCGGCTGAGGCCGCAGTCACTAATAAAGGCCTATGTAAGTGACTCTGCATGCTCTGCCATCAGAGGCGTTGGCATTCATCAGCACTCTCAGATGTCCCTACCAACACGGGCTTCATCACAGGTAGGGCATGCGAGCCAAGGATCCTCCCAAGGTTTTCCTAACAGCTCCAACAGCAGCTTAGGTCACGCCTGCACCGAATGTGCAATATCCCACCATCCTCATCTGGTTGGCCCTGCTAAGGCACGCGACTAGCCTAGACATCCCAACCAGTTCGGGGTGACCTGAACTGCCAAAGACTGGAAGGCCAGAAACTAGAACGTTTAACATCCGCAAAGTTAAGACCCACCTAACACAATGAAGCTCCAAACCCCGAAAGACCGAGATGGCGCCCGGGGTCCTGTATATAAGAGTTCCTCTCGTGACATCATGACGCACGCTCCTCGCCTGCGTACACCCCGGCCCCTCCCCTTCTCCAACTCCTCCTCCTCCAACCCCACCTACTTCCCGCCCTCTAAGCCCGCCTTCTCGGTCCCGCCCAACCTCGCCATTGTGGGCGGGGCCACGACCGCCCGCCTCTCAATGGACTCCCGCCCTCCTCCGGACCTGGGAGGGAGAGCAGAGAGGGGAGGGGGCGCGAGAACGGAAAGCACTGGGGGAGGGGGAGGGGGAGGGGGAGGGGTGGCAGTGTAGGGTGAGTGATTTCCTTCCGGCACGCCGCCCGCTCCGGGGGAGGGGGCGGGGGGTTTCACTTCCGGGACGGTGTTCCGGCCCATTCCGGCCCATTTCCACCCCCGGAGGTAGGTGCTGCTCCTTGACTGGGCTCGGGCCCCGCACCCCGGTCCCGCTACCATGTACCCGGGCCACCTCGTCCCGTCTCCGCTGCAACCGGCTCCTAGGGTGCTCAGCCACTTCCCTCCGCCTCCCCTCAGGCACCGGCGACCTTCCACCTCTTTGGCCCCGAGCCGGGCTGAGAAGCCGGACCCCGCCCCCTCGCGGGCCCCTCCCTCAAGACCCCGGGATGGGCGGCCCCCTCCCCCACCCCACACCGCCTCCGCCGGGACACACCCAGATGCACACACCCACCTCCGGGCAGTTCCCCGCCCGCGGACGCCTCCCGCCTGGACGCGGTCCCGGGGCGCCGCCCCCTTCCTAGTCCTTTGCCCTCACCTGTGTGCTCGCTCCACGGCCCGACTCCTCGCTCCCCTCTTCTCCCGAGTTCCTCGGTGGCATGTCGCCCCTTAGCCGGTTCTAACAGATGAAAGCTGCTCAAGCACCGGCATGAGTAGCCAACCCCATGCCGTTCCCGATTCTCCCTCTTTCAGCTCTCACCCTTCCAGTGCCGACGGTAGAGAAAGACTTTACTCCAGGGGCTTCCTCCTCACTGGGGAATTGCCGGAAAGAGCAAACAAAAAAAGATGCTGGTGTAGGCTCCAAAATAAACACATCTGAATTCATGATGGCGTCGACAGAGGCTCTTATTGGATTAAAAGTTTCAAAACAAACAATAACGCTTTGGAAAAAGGTCAGATGGCTAAAGTAGGTTCTTGAAAGGAGTGTATGCACTTCCCTGTTGACTGATAAAGTGTGTTGTAAATGCGGGGGCAACACTGTGCTTCTCGGGACGCATTCCTGAAGTTTCAGGTCTTAGGCCACTGTGTAACGTCTTATGAATTTATAGATAAGTGGATACACGTGACGTTTAAGTCATTGTCTTTCTGTTGGGATTTAGTCACACCATACTCTCAACTGTCAAAAACTCGGATGCAGTTGCAATCTTTTAATGTAAAAACTGGGACCATACTTGGTTAAGGTGTATTTTACTAGCTTTAGGGAACTTTCAAAGTCATTGTATCATCACCACCCTGAAATTCTCAAATTCAAATTTGGATACAGTCCAATTTACTTAGCCTTTTCTAACTCTGAGAACTGGGCTTTATGTTCTCTGCATCTTGATTGACTCCTGACACAACTGCAATTTTTCCTAACCTAGAGTTTACCTTAGAGTCCCATATCTAAAAGCTTTTTGTGGGAGCTCTAGTAAGCTTTAAAATATTGGCTTTCATTCATGTGGAATATTAGTCACTTTATAAAGTAATAAATACAATGCATGCTGCATGTAGTAAAATATTAAGAGGGATATCCAATATCCCTCTTATACTGCGTATACTTGCATTTATTCAAAAAACTTACTTTTTTCCTCCAGAAAATAGTTGTGGGATTTTATGTGCAGTCTGCAAACACCTTAGATTAATGCCCCTTTTGTTGAACTTCTATTTTGATGTGTAACTTATTAATAAAGAAAATATGTGCATAGCTTGATTTTTAGCACGCTGGTGATCACTTTTTTTAATTTGGGGGGGGTTGAATTCACACTTGTAAAACAAGTGCTCTACCCATAAGCCACACCACCAGTCCATTTTGCACTGATTCTTTTGGAGATTGGGGGAGGGGGGGTCTCAAGAACTATTTGCCCAGGCTAGCCTTGAACCAACATCCTCCCGGTCTCAGCCTCCCAACTAGCTGGAATTACAGGCGTGAGCCACCAACACCTGACCACTTTTTAAATTTTAACTGTATTTGGCTGTGAAATCTAGACTAAAAAAACCTCTTGGTAATTTTATTTTCATAACTAAACATAAATAAGGTATCTCTCTGAACTTGGAGATTTTAATTATTTTGTTTCTGTTTTTTGTAACAGGGTATTGCTATGTAGCCCAGGCTGGCCTCGAACTCACGATCCTCCAGCCTCAAACACCCAAGTGCTGGTATTACAGGTGTGGACCATTGTTCCCAGCTCAGAGATTGTAAATTTTTACCATTTTTTTTTTTTAACTCAAGGCGTCTCATAGGTAGGTGCTTTACCACTTGTACCATTCTCCCAGCCCTGCAAATAATATTTCTAAGTGTGTTTGAACTAGAGAGCATTGGGGGAGTAAAATTATTGAGAATATGTTTTTTTCTTTTAGCAGGGTTGAATGCTTGCCTGCCCCTTGAGGCATGACCATGGAGAAAGGTGGGAACATACAATTGGAGATCCCTGACTTCAGCAACTCTGTCCTGAGCCATTTAAATCAGCTGCGCATGCAGGGCCGTCTCTGTGATATTGTGGTCAATGTGCAAGGACAAGCTTTTCGAGCTCACAAAGTAGTACTGGCTGCTAGCTCTCCCTATTTCCGGGATCACATGTCCTTGAATGAAATGAGTACTGTCTCCATTTCAGTCATCAAGAACCCTACTGTTTTTGAACAGCTCCTTTCTTTCTGTTACACGGGGCGGATATGCCTGCAACTGGCAGATATCATCAGCTACCTAACAGCTGCTAGTTTTCTGCAGATGCAGCATATTATAGACAAATGTACACAGATCCTGGAGGGCATTCATTTCAAAATTAACGTGGCTGAGGTTGAAGCAGAATTAAGTCAAACGAGGACAAAGCATCAAGAGAGACCTCCAGAGTCCCACAGACTTACCCCAAATCTAAGCCGCTCACTTAGCCCACGACATAATACTCCAAAGGGAAACCGGAGAGGACAGGTTAGTGCTGTGCTGGATATCAGAGAGTTAAGTCCCCTGGAGGAATCCACCAGCCCTCAGATAATTGAACAGAGTTCTGATGTAGAAAGCCGGGAACCCATTCTTCGGATCAACCGAGCAGGACAGTGGTATGTGGAGACAGGAGTAGCGGATCGGGGGGGCCGGAGTGATGATGAAGTTAGGGTTCTTGGAGCAGTGCATATCAAAACTGAAAATTTGGAGGAGTGGCTTGGGCCTGAGAATCAGCCTTCTGGAGAAGATGGGAGTAGTGCAGAAGAAGTCACAGCCATGGTAATTGACACCACAGGCCATGTTTCTGTAGGACAGGAAAGTTACACATTAGGGTCTTCAGGAGCCAAGGTGGCTCGGCCAACAAGCAGCGAAGTTGACAGGTAAGTTATGTTTTCTCATCTAGTGGCTGTTGTGCAGACATCACTAAGTGGGCCTTTTATATCTTAGTGATAATCTTTCTTACCTGATCATCTTAGCCAAAATAAATTGATGTTGGGGAATGTGGAAGTATGCATTGTTATTTTTTTAAAGCACAAAGGTCCTAGTCCTGAAGTGTTCAGTGTTGTGAGAACTATGGTAACATTAGACACGTCCATGAATCAGAGCAGCCTCTGTAACCACATGAGGCTCAGTTATTGCCAAGACTTTCTCAGGATTCCAAGCAGGGAACTGATCAGCTGAGAACCTGACAGCATTGCCCTTCCTTAGTATGCTTTCATACAGCCTTGGGGAGTTTCACTGTTGACTTTTCTTTGCCCCCACCTGCCAAATTAGAGGAAGTGTGGTACTATCAGTGACTGTTCTTTTCAAATTAGTAGGAACACAGTTCATTAATTCCGGGAAAAGTTTTTTGGATTTTTTTTCTTTTCCAAGTGTCATTTAATAGATAACTGCTGCTACCACAAGCCTGAGGGTCACCTCTTTTTTTCACCAATGCTACTATGCCCGATATGCCTCACTTCTTTCTAACACATTGAATTTGTTAGAATATCTCTTTTTTGGTGGAAATAAAATTAGTTTTAATATACATCAGTTGATTGAGATTGATAATATTTGTTCTTTTCCCTTAAAGGCAGATTGACCTTATGAGCAATGAAAGCTAAAGAAGCTGTTTCTTTGGTTTATAGTTGATCTTGAGAGACATTGTATTGCAGACGCTAATAGTATACTGTAGCTACTTCAGATGGTCTTCATTTGAGTATTTTCCATTATGGGCCCTTAATAGTTAAAATATTCTTGAGCACAGAATTTTTTGATCCCCAATATTAACACTGTTGTCCTCCTATGTTAGAACTGTATTAGAAGTAGGACCAGCTTAAATGCAAATGTTTAATCTCCATGATCGGTATCAACCATCTGACATAATTTAACAGGTTAGTTATGGGGTCTAAGGAAAGGAACAATCAAAAACCCAATAGTTATATAGAAAAAAATTACAAACCCCAGTTTTTATTTATTGCTTCACCCCTCTCACAGTATTTTTGTTAGGATGGAAAACATATTTAGCCTTAGCTTCACCTTTTCATAAGGTCTATTGCTATGTCACTTTGTATTTTTTAAATTTACTAAGACAAACCTTTCTTTACCTTACTTCACAATAGCTCCTATATTGACTGTGAAAGTACTTCTGTTATCTGTTGCTTGGTTTGTTCCTCCTTCCTCAGTTACAAGAGAAAGAGAGGGAACATCACCATTTTTTAAGTTCTTTGACACTACTTTTCTGTTAGTTCCCTCTATGCTCCTCTTCCAACAGATTTAGCCCATCTGGCAGTGTTGTTCCCATGACCGAAAGACACAGAGCCAGAAGTGAGTCTCCTGGGAGAATGGATGAGCCTAAACAACCCAGTTCCCAGGTATGTAGTTGTAGATTTAGATTTGCTGTATTGGTTGAAGGAATTGCCACAGTGTATGAACAGAATATAATGAATAAGAAAGGAAAGATGTAAGAGAAATAGCAGTGCCCTGTTGAAGAAATATAGTATTTGATTACTTTTTTCTTTTTTTAATAAAAATTTTATTATCATGCATTAATTGTAAAAAGACTTTCATTGTGAGACTTGCATACAGACATATGATATAATGTACTTGGATCACCTTTAACTCATCTATAATACTCTCTTTACCCTTCTCCCTCCCTCTCTTTAACAGTGTTTAGTGGGTTTCATTATGCTGTTTTCCTGCATATATGTAATGTACTTAAATCATATTCACCCTCTATCACCCTTTCCTTTCCCCCTTTACCCTCCCGTTGGATTCCCCCAAACAGTCCCTCTTTTACAATCGTGTTTTCATTACCACCACCATCATCATCATAATTATTACTGGTCTAGATTCAGCATATGGGCAAAAACATGCAATGTTTGTCTTTCTGAGCTTGGCTTATCTAGATCAACATGATGATAACCAGTTCCATCCATTTTCCTGCAAATGATTTAATTTCATCTTCTTTATTGCTGAGTAATACTTCATTTTGTATATGTACATTTTCTTTATCCATTCATTAGTTTTGGGCACATAGACTGATTCCATAGCTTAACTATTGTGAATAGTGCTGCTATACACAGGCCTGTATGTATAAGTATCTTTATTATATGGTGACTTCAGATATATTGATTACTTTTGTTGGTTTTTTTTTTTTTTTTTTTTTTTTTGGCAGTACTGGGGTTTGAACTCAGGGCCTCACACTTGCTAAGCAGGCACTTTACCATTTGAGCCACTCTCCCAGCCCTGTTTTGTGTTGGGTATTTTCAAAATAGGGTCTTGAATATTTGCCAGAGGCTGTCTTTGAACCGAGCTCCTCCTTATGTCTGCCTCACAAGTAGCTAGGATTATAGGCATGAGCCACCAGTACCCAGCATGGTTTCTTTTTTTCTTTTCTCTTGTTTGTGAGCATTCTGGAAATAGACTTTTGGTGTCAGTAGAGTTTAGGAAGTACAAAAAAAACCAACATTGTGAAACTGTTTCCTGATTATAGAGTCTAGTCTATAGACCTGAGAGTAAAATTAACCTCTGGAAACTACCTGCAGGTAGTTTAGAACCTGGAATGAAGTCTGATTTTGCAAAGCTTTATTGAAAGAAAAGGAAAGAATAGGCACAGTGAAAGAAAAAGTGGTGGGCCCTGGCCAGGTGACACAGAAGCACCAATCCTTGTTAAAAGGGCAGCTTATAAATTTTAAGGGCAAACAGTGGGAAAAATCTGAACAGTCTTTGCACGAAGGGGCTAGGGTGATAAACAGGTTTGATTAACAAGGTCTTGTGATTATTCTGCGAATGGGCTTATGCTGATTCCCAAGACTAATTACATGTATGAGATGCAACCAGTATTCAAATATCTTAAGTAGAGGGCTTTACCTGAGAGGTCACATTGAGGACAGAGTTCCCTTTACCAGCATGTACAATTTTCATGGGCCAAGGCATTCCCTTGTCTTTCAGGAAACTTTCATCTGCAAAGAGATTCACAACTGAAAAGCAATTTACAACTGAGGAGATGTTAAGAGTCTGATTTTGTATGTGTGGGTGTATAACATATATATATGTACACAGAGTTACAAATTTTACAGTATTGTATATTTGTAAACAAATTGGTTATGCATCTTATGTATATGTTATTTTGTGTGCATGTATTTTTTCATTTATTTCTGAATCTTTTGTTAAGACTACAGTGTTGTAGAATATTCTAGGAATGATGTCTTCCATATTCTTTGCAACTCTCCTTAACTAGTGTAAGTAGTTGATTGCTATTTTTGTTTGTTTTTTTCTCATAGATCTATATGACTGAAGATTGATTTTTTAAAAGGTGGTAAATGCACCAAGTAGAACACAATCAACTGGACACTTTAGGCTTTAAAAAAGAAACACTGGTGCATTTAAGATTGCATAGTTAAGCCAAGCCAGTATGGTGATACATGTCTATAATCCCGTCATCAGGAGTTTGAGGCCAGCTTGGGCTAACAGTGAGTTCTAGACCAGCCTGGGATACAAAGCAAAACCGTATCTCAGAACACACGTGCACATGGGCGCGCGCGCGCGCACACACACACACACACACACACACACACACACACACACAATTGCATAGCTGATTTTTACTTATTTATTTAGGTGGGACTGGGATTTGAACTCAGGCATACCTAGTTTTTTAACCTTTGTTATCTAAACCACTGGAAATTTATTGTGTTCATGGTATAGTAAAAGCAGTAAGACATTGTTGCAAAGTACATTTTTTAGTTTTAATAAAGTGTTAGTGAAAATGTCAGGAGCTTAGAGAAAAAGAAAGTTGGCTTGTATAATTAGGGCCTCCTTTCTCCTCATCTCTGATTTGGGGTATAATGATTAGTTACAAAGGTAACTAACTAGTTACGAAAGTAACTCTACTTATGCAAATAAATACAGTAAAGAGCCAGGTCTTAACAACCTAATGCGGAGATAAGACAGACAAAAAACATAGGATTAAGTAACAATTTTATGGGAATAGGAAAACTTAAAAGGCATTTACTAGAATCAATATCCACATAAGGAAAGTGTTACTAAGGGTATTTTCAATGCATTTTATTCTTTTTTTTTTTTTTGAGATGGGGGGGTCTCACTGTCAGGCTGATCTTGAATTCCTTGGGTTCAGTGAGTCTGCCTCAGCCTCCCAAGTAGTTGGGACTACTGACACACACCTCCCTGCTGGGCTTTAAATACAGTTTTTAAAGAAGTTAGGAAAAGATAACTTAACTGTGTTTAGAAATGAGATAGAGATAAAATTGGAATTCTGCATGAGTGTTTACCTGACTGAAGCAAAAGATTTAGGCTAAAAAAAAGTAGGAGCTAAACATTATTGTCTAGAGATGATATTAAGGGTCATAAATATGCCTTAGCATGCGTGAACGTTTATTATGGTGAGTTTGCTCGCCAGTTATTGTCCCCTGCCACAGAGGACCAAAACAGGGCAAAAACTTACACTATAACAAGAACAGATTTTTTGCCTAGCATATGTGGGATCCTGGGTTTGAAACCCAGTGCTTTTATTTATTTGTTGTTTTGGCAGTACCAGAGACCTTGAGCTCAGGGCTTCATGCTTGCTAGGCAGGCACTCTACCACTTGAGTTATTTCCAGCCCAATCCCCAGCTTAGAGGAAAAAAAAAAGAAATTTTGATAGACTTGAAGGATTCCTGACTGTAGGGGATTATTAAACTGGAACAGACTACTAAAGTCACTCCTTTCCTCAAAACATTCCACAGCTTTGTCTTTTTTCCTATCACATAAAGTTTAAAAATAATTGGCTTAATTTTCCATGTAACTTCCGGTCTTTTTAACTGAACTCTTCCTCTTTTCCTAACACTCATCAGCATTTGCTGTCTGTGTCAAGCAGGTAGACTTTGTATGTTTCAAAACCCCATCAAATTCTGTCTCTGTGCTTAGAATCTGAGATGCCTCATTCCTCCTGGTCCACCAAAGTCTCAATTCCTGTTTTTATCTTCCCCAACTGGTCCACTGGCTTTTTTTTTTTTTTTGGAAGGGGGTTTGAACTCAGGGCCTAGAACTTGAGCCACTCCACCAGTATTTTTTTGTGAAGGGTTTTTTCGAGACAGAGTCTCAAGAACTCTTTCCCTTGGGCTGGCTTTAAACCTTAATCCTTCTGATCTCTGCTTCCTCAGTCGGTAGGATTACAGGTGTGAGCCACTGGTGCCTGGCTAGTCCACTATTCTTTAATCTTTTCTTCTGTAACCACTATTATAGCATTTACACAAGGTGAAACATAGTTTTTCCTTTTTTTTTTTTTTTTTGGCCATTGTTTCTCCCCTCCCACCTCAGGTACTAGGGATTGAACCTGGGGTCTTGCTGCTTGCCAGGCAAGCACTCTACCACTGAGTAAATCCTCAACCCCCTAATTTTTCCTAATTTTCTACTGACTTACTCCTTTCTTATTTGCATTTTTTTTTTTTTTTGGCAGTACTGGGGTTTGAACTAAAGACCTCATGCTTACCAAGCAGGTACTCTACCACTTGAGCCACTCCACCAGCCCTTTATTGTGTTAGATATTTTTGAGATGGGGAGGGGGGGTCTCATGAACTGTTTTTGCTTCTGCCAGCTTTGAACCTTGATCCTCCTGATCTCTGCCTCCTAAGTAGCTGGGATTACAGGTGTGAGGCCCTGGCACCCAGCTTTGCATTCATTTTGTGTCGCCTATTAAATTGAGAGCAGAAACCATGTTTTCTAATCGTATTTGTATCTATGACATTGTCTTGTCAGGTTTTACCTCCAAGTACAGTAATGATTGATATAAGTAAATGTAAGATGAATACAACTACTAAATAGGAGCTTACTTAGTTGCTTGTGAAATCCTCAATTTGGAGGTAAAAACTGAAATCTCCAGTTTTGGAGATCTTTAAATAATAGTAATACACCAAAGAGGATAATTTCTGAAGCCCCTTTAATTCTTTGAGTGTCTGTCAGTAATCAAAACTAAGAATGATGGGAGGCTTTGAAGTTCATGCCAAGTATAGCTTAGAAAATATGGAAACCAGTGACTTACATGGAATTAATTCATTATTTGGAATAATTCATTGAAAATTACTTATTGAACCAGGCACTGACTGAATTCTTGGCTATTTGGTGTTGCAAAATGTCCCTGTGTCTACAATGTAATAGGAAACTACCATGTGGGAGAAGTGAATTGATCCACCTTTGAGGGACAGTGAGAACCAGGAGGCAGCCATTTTTGCCCTTGCCTCCTTTTAAAATTCAAAGCAATAAAACTACCAGAGACACATGCTGCCTTTGACAAGGACCTAATCTACATCTTCTGTTCATTGATTTCCCCTTCTATTGCAACTTTAGTGCAGTAATTTTTTTAGTGAGATTGATTATAAAGCATAATTTTGTGATCATAATTCAGCACCAATTATTAAAACGCATTACTTTCTACATGTGGACAATATTGGTGTGACATTACTTTCCTTAAAGTTGGGACTTTTTTTAGGAAACTGTGCCCTCAAGATCATAAATAAAATGAATTTGAAGTTGTCCAGGTGCCACTGGACAAGGAGGAAACAGGATGCAAAATGTATGTATGTAGGTATTAGTATGTATGTGTATGTTTTATATACATAATATATGTGAGTTTAATAATAGCTAACAGTTAATGAAATATGTTAGTGTATTAACTCACTGAGTGCTCAAAGCAACCTGTGAGGGAGATGTTAGAGAAAACTAAAGAATAGAGTAAATAAATTGGTTCAGACCACATAATAAATGGAACTCAAATTTGAACCCAGTAAATGGATGGAACTGGAGAACATCATCCTGAGCAAGGTTAGCCAGGCACAGAAGACCAAAAATCGTATGTTCTCCCTCATATGCGGACATTAGATCAAGGGCAAATACAACAAGGAGATTGGACTTTGATCACATGATGAGGTGAGAGCATAGAAGGGAGGTATGAGGATAGGCAAGAAACCCCAAAAAAAAACCAAGATAGCATTTGATGTCCTCAATGCAAAGGAACTAATGCAGAAGCTTTAAAGCGACAGAGGCCAATAGGAGAAG